CCCTTAGGGGCTCCCCCTGCAGGCCTTGTCCCTGGACAGCCTCCTGTCTGGCCTCCACCCTTCCTGGCCCTAAGGACGGTCTTCCATGGGTCTGTGTCCTCCTGCTCACTCCCAAAGCCCCACGGTGCCCAGCACAGCCTGCAGCTCCCAGCCACCGCTCCCTAGGTCTCGCTGAGCAAGCTTCCGCTGCCCATTTCCGTGCTTGGCCACCTGCCTGGCCGTGCGGTGGGCTCAAATCACCATTGTTCATCCGGGGCAAGCTCAGCACGAGCATGTGAGAGCCCTCAGGCCACCAGAGTCACTGGTTCAACAGCAGGGCCGAGGGGTACTGGATCCAGGTGACAGATGAACAGCCTGGGCTCTGCTGATTTGGAGGGCACCATCCGGAAGACGGTCCCCCCACCCTTGTCCACCATGTAGGGATGGTCCAGCTCAGCTGAGTCTTGGTTGAGAGGTGGGACACGGGGACACAGGTGTGCATCTTCCAGAGTGGAAGGCAAGGAGGCAGCCCACCTAGGAGTGGGGGGAATCGTCCCTCCATGGGTGAAAAGGAGGTCACGAGGGAGGAAGAGCAGGTTGACAGTAGAAGGCTGGGAAGCATAATGGTTAGGGCTGCAGATGCCCAGCCCATGCTACCTGCATTCAAACCCCTGCTCAGGTATCCCTGTGACCCTGGGCAAGTTAATTCACCTCTTCGAATCCTTCACTCATAGGCAGCATCGCTAAGCAAAGCACCAAGCTCCAAGGATGGTTGTGAGTATTAGATCTGTCGGTATGTACAGGATACTAAGTGTTCCCAGCCTGGGTTGTTCTAAGTTAAACCACACCACACAACTGTCACATTTGACATGAGTGTTAACTTAATCTTCTCCCTCTTTCTTTCTCCTCCTTTTCCTTGTGTTCTCACCCCATCCTTTCCCCAGTAGTTCAGCGACTTAGTGCGTGTAACCCTGATTCTAATCTCGGCTCTGCCCCTCACTTCCTTGAACGCTTTAGGAACATAATTAGCATCGCAGGGTTTCACGCAGCTGCTTACCTGAGAACTAAGGTAATAATAGCACGGACTTCCCCTGGTTGCGGCAGCACCAGGAAAGAACGGGGGACTGTGGCTTTCTGGGTGGCCCACAGTCAGGTCTGTGAAACTAGAAGCCACCAGCGTTCAGAAGAAAGCGCGCCTCCCGCCACTGAAACCTCTGTGCCGCCCCGGCCTGGCCGAGCTCCGCGACCGGCCCACCAGCAGGACGGGACAGGCGCCAAGCTCACGTGAGTGCACGGCCCGGGGGACCGCAGGTGCGGCGTGTGCCAGGTCGGCAGCCGCGTCTCCACACTCAGGGACGGGGCTGGCCGTGACGCTGCACGTTGAGGGGAGCTTGGCAGAAACAGCCCCAGGCTGAGCCTGGAAGGACAGCGGCCAGGGGGGCCCAGCCAGAGAAGTGGGCAATGGGCGAGTGGGGCAACACTGACAGGACCAACGGGCACGCAGTGCCGGGGCAGAGGAAGCAAAGGCCGGGCAACCGGCACGGCCGGGCAGAGAACGTGAGTCGTGGGTGCACTGGGGAGCCATGGAAGGTGGCACACAACATAGAGATGTGGCCGGGTGTCAGGTCCCACCAGCAGACATGGCTCCAGGTGGCCGAGGGAATAGGCTCCCGCTCAGACGTCCCAGGTGTGAGCTTTGCTTCCCTCACTCTGTGAGGTGGATGAATGATTTACCTTCTGGGTGCCTCCGTCCCCTAAGAGAGGCTTGCAGGACCTAGGGTGCTTCCCCGTCTCCCCACCACTGAGCACCTACTCCGTGTTTTCCACGCCAGTGTGGTCAGCACTGCTGCTTGCCCCACTTTTGAGAGCTGAGGCGCTCATCCAGGGAGAAGCCGGAACCCTGCCCAGGTCTGGCCACCCTGGGCCCAGGCATGGTGACAGCCCTGTGCTTCTTCCATGAAGACAGAATGGGCTTGAGCTGCTGCTAATCAGAGCCTGGCTGCCTCACAACCCCACTGGCCCGGGCTCAGAGGGGGCGAGCCACTGGTCACAGTCACACAGCAAGGTGGAGAGGCCAGTGACCCCCGCCCAGGCTGGTGTCCTTGACACAGTGCTCTAAAGTCGGAGGACTCTAAGCACATAGGAGGAAGCTGAGGCGCAGGCAACAGTCTCTGCATTTTTATTGGATGCTTGACAAACGTTCAAAAAGCCTCAGCTGCATCAGTGTATCATCCATCCCTGCTACAGCCTCATGAGTTGGCTGATATTTTCTCACCCACTTTTCAGAGCTGAAAACTGAGGTTCAACAAGGTTGAACCACTATAAATAATGGAACCACTATAAATAATTCATAATGGTGGCCTATCTGCCACTCAACGGATGGATGGAGAAAGAAAATGTGGTATTTATACACCACGGAGTCCTACCCTGCTAAGTGAAATAAATCAGGCACACAAGCTTACATATCGCGTGGTTTCTCTTCTATGAGAAACCCAAGGTACAAATAATTTAAAGAGCAAAGTAAAAGAGAGATGGGCGGAAACAGGGAGGTAGAAGGTTTGCAGATAGGAGGAAGATCCGGGGGTGGTTACAGGAGCGGAAGAAAAGCAAAGTGATTCAGGCGCGCGTGCGCGGCATGTGCGCCATTCCCGCCCGGCCCGCGGTGGGCGCAGGGCGGGTGTAGGCCCAGCCCGCACTAGGACAAAACGACAGGAGTAGAAGAGAGGCTGCGCGCTGGCCAAGGCCGCCCAGCCGGCCCGGACAGACCGGCGGTATTTTGGGTGCTGTCCGCCTTCCCACGGAGCGCCTGACCCCTCCACAATGGCATAAGAATTGCTAACATCGCCCTTCTCCAGGTGAGAAAAGACGCGCTGTAAAGCACCAGACCGGATCTCCCCGGTGCGGGCTCAGTGGCTCGCTGAGGCCTTGGTCTCAGGCCAGTGAGACCCCAGCAGTCGCATCTCCAGCTCCCCTCGACGCTGACTGCGGCTTGGGAGCTGAATAAAGGCAGCAGAGGGTCCCCAAGCCCCACCACCCAGCCCCCGAGGCTGAATACTAGAGTTTGATGACTCATTCTAAGCTTTGCTGAACCCTAGATCCCAGCCGAGGTGTGAGGGGTGTGACGAAAGAACAACCCCGACAGGTAGCGAGCGCCCCGTCACCGGGAGAAACCAAGCAGGGCCGCCATGGATGAAAATCAGTACTCAGGTGAGAGGGCTGCTCTGCACGCACACGGGGACGAAGGAAGGGTGCTCCCCAGCCCCGCTCTAGCAAAGATGAACTTCTAAAAAAAAAAAAAAAATTCCCCGGAGTTGGGTGGGGAGTTGAGTCCCGACCTACGAGCTCCCAGCCAGAGCCAGGCAGGACAGGGGAGCAGCGGGCCCCTCCCTCCCGTGACTCAACAGCTTCTGCACAAAACTCCGCTCCCGCTGGAGCTGGCAGCCCGATGGCGTCGGAGGCCGAGCGGAACGGGAACTCGGAGCGCGCGGACTCGGGCAGGATGAACCCTCCGAGCCGGGGAGAGGGGAGGGGTGGGAGCCCGCAAAGGCGCCAGGGCAGAGCTCTGGGAAGCCCGGGGCGCGAGGCTGGGACGGGCGCCGGCCCAGCGCTTGAGGCTCCAGGTTAGCTGAGGGGGTCAGAAGCGGGTCGGACGGGGCGGGGACGGGGGAGCCCGTCTTCTCCTGGGTCCCAGCTCCCGGCCCCAGATCTGAGTCTCTGGAAAGGACCTGGACTCACTGCGACTCTGCCCGCTGCGCTGTGGGCAGACACCGCGCGGGACCCGCAGAGCTGGGAGCGGGTAGAGGTCGCGGCTGCAGACGGCCTCCCAGGATGTCGGGGATGAGGGCACGGGAGAGACGGGGCCTGGCCTCCCCCACACCCCTCATCCTTCCCGCCAGTCCCCGAGGAATTCTTCGAGTTTCCCAGGAAGAGGTGCTGCCGGCGGGGGCTGCAGCTGGTGCTGTTGGGGCTGCTGACAGTGGCGCTCTGGGCCGGGCTGCTGACCCTGCTTCTTCTGTGGCGTGAGGACACCCCCAGCCCCACACGCCCCCGCACGTCTGCCCTTCTCCTCCCCACCCCCCACCCCTATCTCAGTCCTGGGGAGCTCATTTCCCCATTGTTCCCACCTTGGCGGATCCTGCCAGCCCCTTCCCTGCCATCCCCGACCCCACCTTGGGTTCCCCGAAAAACCCTCATCCCCGGCGACAGGTGGGACATGGGTGGGTGGGGATGCCCACCCCCTCTCCTCCTTCCCGGCCCTCCCTCTTCCCCAGACTGGGACACCTTGAAGAACGTTAAACAGCTGGAAGTCGCCGCTGCGCAGAATGGTATGGAGGGGCCGAGGGGTGTGGTAGAACTGAAGGTCAGGACACCAGCTCTCGCCCCTCTCCATCACTGACCCCTCTGTGGGCCTCAGCGACCGCCCAGGAACCTAGAATGCTCCCTTCCCCCAACGGGAAATAGAGGAACTCCAGGGAGACCTGGAGAAGTCCTTAACAGGATATAAACAAGGCAGCTGGAACCCGCTCCTGCCTCAGTGTTCCCCTCTGTAAAAGGGGTGCGATTTGGGGGCCATGAGCTAGTGAGCTAAACTGTAGGAAGCGCTTCATTGCAGACATGCCCACTGCTTCTATATTTAATCCTGGGTGAGGAGAAGGAGCCCGTGTTCATTCCGCCTGGCCTGCACCTCCCGGTTCCCATCCCCCACCCTCCCAAAAATATGCACGGCATAAAGGCAGAGCTGTGGCACTGTGTGAAGGAGGGCCCTGTCCGTGGGACTGCAGTGGGGCTCAAGGACCTGCCTCTGCGGTTCTCCTCTCCCACTGTTGCAGTCTCTCGAATCGCCAAGGAGCTGCACAGACACCAGAGTGACCGGACGGCCCAGAAATCCCAGGGTGAGTCACTGGATGCTGTGGGGGACCAGCCGTGTGCCTGCCACACCGGGGAGCTGCAGAGTGAGCAGGCAGCGCCCAGAACCCAGAGGTGGGTGGGAGAGACGGGAGGCCCGAGCCCTTGCTGATGCCGCCCCTCCTCCCCGACCAGCAGCACTGATGTCCCAGACTGTGCACGAACTCCAAGCCGAACAGAAGCAGCTGAAATCTCAGGGTGAGAGACTGGTGGGGGCCAGTGGCCCAGAGCCACGGGGGACCGTGAGGCTGGGCTGGCCCTCTGGCCCCGCACATGCTCCTGAGCCCAGCCCCGCCCTCCCACTCGCCAGGCTCCGAGCTCTCCTCGACTCTGGACAGGCTTCAAGAGGATCTGAGCAGTGTCAAGTCCCAAAGTGAGCCTGGGAGGCGGGTGCGGGCAGAAGGCAGGGGTGGGGGCGGCCAGCTGGCCTCTGAGCGCTGCGCCCTCACGCGCACATGCACCCCTGGGCCCTCAAGACTTGAACGAGAAGCACACAGCCTTAGACTCGCTGGGAAGACTGAAGGAAGAGGTGGCGAAGCTGTGGATGGAGATACAGGCGTCTAAGGGTGAGTGTGCGTGCGGGTGGTCGCTGTCGGCGGATTCCCTCAGCCACAGCCCCCGCGGGAGACTGACCCACCCTGGGGCTGGAGGAGGGGATGTCTGCAGTGATGGAGGCGGTGGGGCCGGCGGCACCCTTCCCAGGGGTGGCAGAGACGGAGGGGGTGTTGGGAGGGGCCGGTGGGATGCAGAGAGAGCAGACAATCACTGAGCCTTTAGTGTGCGGTGCAAACCAGGGTTTTACAGCCCTGCCATCCACCCCACTCCCACCCCAGCCTCGACCTGCTCTTGATGCTGGGTCTTCCACCTCTGGGAAGCCCCAACTCCCCAACCGGGTAAGAGAAGAGGAAGGAGCCTTGCTCGGTGGCAAAGAGTCCCATCCCCTGAGATATAGCATAGCTTTGGGAATCCCAGCAAGAAACTCCGCCGGGCTTCCTTGGGGAAGGAAGAGGACAGGGCACTGAGTCACGCTCAGCCTGACAGATGGCCCCATCCCTACCCTTTCCCTAAACCCCCCTCCCCAAACCTGGCCCCATGGCCTGAGGTCTGAGCCCAGCTCTGGGGCTGCTTCTGGGTGACTGTGTGACAAACAGCCAGGACATACCATCATCATCATCGCTGCTGAGACAGGGTCTCAGTGTGGCTCAGGTTGACCTTAAGCTTTATAAACTCCTGGGCTCAAGGGGGTCCTCCTGCCTCAGCCTCCAGAGTAGCTGTTTCTAGAGGTACATGCCACCATATCCAGCCCTGAAAGTGTCCTTTAGAGGTCCAGAGGTGCTGCCTTCCAGTTTAATGCCGCACCCACACTGGGCTGAGCGCTGGTTATCACTGCATGGACTAGAAGGACGCCCAGCTCACGCAGCTGTGGACCCTCAAGCTCCATGACAAAGTCTAAGCGAAGTTTAGGACTGGCCGTGCTCGGGTAAAGCATGGCTTAGCATGCAGGACACCTGACTTCCTTCCCCAGCACCTCAAAAATAAATATCTTAAAGCAAAAGAGAACCAAGCTAGTAACAGCGGATTTAACCTCCCACCTTGGAGTCTCGGTGACAGTGACAGTGTCTGAGAGTTTCCCCAGGTAGGGGCAGGGGAGAAAGAGACCAAGCTGGCCTTGGGTAGAGGACTTAGGGACCCATCCTTGCAGTCTCCTTTCCCTCCCCATGGGCCCTCAGACCAGTGCCTCTGAAAAGAGGAAACCGTCTCAGCGCTCCCAGAAAGAGGCTGCAGCACCAAGGGGGTAGTTTGCTACCAGCAATGGGGGCCAGGACCGTTTGGAGCTGTTGGTGGGAACGGGGCATAGGGAGATACGCTGCGGGGCGGGGCACTGGTGACGAGGGTATGGCTGCTGTGGTCAGTAGGGACAGGATGGACTATGGTGGGGTGGCAGTGGCACACTGCTGGCAGCATCTGTGCCTGCCGTGATGACACTGGTGACAAAGTGATCCTGACCGTGGAGATGTTCATGGTGATGGTGTTCGTGGTTGAGGGCCTGCTAGCCACAGATGTCTTCATGGTGACGGTGCGGGCAGCAGACCTCCGTGGCCACGAGGCATGTGTGGTGGTAGTGAGGGTGACAGAGGTGTGGCTGACAACGGCAGCATCGGTGGGGATGATGGTGATGGTTGATGTGTCACTAAGCGCGGAGGTGTCGGTTGTGGAGGCACTGGGTGGCCAGGAGCTATTTGTGGAGAAAGTGGTGGTCAAAATATCGTTGGGCATGAATGTGTTTGTGGTCATGGCGTTGGTGGCTGGAGTGTTGCTGAGCGCGGATTTATTTACAGCCCTGATGTCAGTGGGTGAGGTGCTTCCGGCCGTGAGCTGATGTCTGTGGCCCGGTTGGCACAGCCGCTAACTGTGAGGCGCTTATGACACGGTGGTGATGCCTGATGTTCCGCCGGGTGTCAGGCGCATGCGCTGGTGGTTGAAGTGTGTTGTTCAACGTGAATGTGTTTCTCTTGGTCATGTCGGTGGCTGAGGCACTGGTGGCTGCAGGTGTCTGGGGTGGGGACAGTGGTCAAACATTCACGTTTCCGGGAATGAATGTGTCTGTTGTCATGGGGGAGGTGGTTGAGGGTTGCAGACCACGGGTTTTTTGACAGGGGTGGTGTCAACAGTTGAGGAGTTTCTGAGCACGGGTGTACTCCTGGTGATGACATTACAGTTGAGGTGCTTCTGGCTGTGAGGCATCTGTGGCAATGGGGCTGGTGGTTGAAGGGTTTGTGGCAGTGATGGTGGCTGAGATGCTGCTAGCCCTGGAAGTGTCTGCAGGAGGTGCTACTGATGGTGGAGCTGACAAGGTCATGGTGGGGCTGTTGGCTGAAGTGGTGCTAGACATTTATGAGGATGGTCCTGATAGTCAAGGTGTTCGTGGTGCTGTTGGTGGCTGCTACCCTGGAGGTAGTGATGGTGATGATGCTAATGTTGATCTGCAGCTAACCACGGAGGTATCTGTGGCAGTGGTGCTGGTGGTTGAGGTGTTTGTGACAATGACGGTAGTTGAGGTGTTTGTGGTGATAAATGGAGTGTTTCTGACAACGGTGGTTAAAGTGTTTGCGGCAACGGTGGCTGAGGTATTCCTCGTGATGGTGGGAGCTGGGATGTTTGTGGTGATGGTGGTGGTTGAGGTGTCGTGGTGATGCGAAGTGAGGTGTCTGTGACGATAACAGAAGTGTTTCTGGCAGTGGTGGTGAAGGTGTTGTTGCCATGGTGGTGGAGAAGTGTTTCTGGCGATGGTGGTGGTTGGTGTCTGTAACGATGGTGCTTGAGGTGTTTCCGGTGGCCATGGTGGTTGAAGTGTCTGTGGGATGATGCTGGTGAAACGCGGCTAACTCTGGAGGTGTCTGTGGACGGGTGCTGCCAACTGTGGAACGGGCCGAGCTGTGGCAGTGCTGGTGGCTGAGGTGTCCCTGGCCACGGGCATGCTTGTGTCTGTGACGATGTCGGTGGGCACCGAGGTGCTCTGGCCCTGAGGTGTCACTGCGGTGGTGTTGGTGTTGACATTCTGCTAACCCGGAGATGTCTGGCAATGGTGCTGGTGGCTGAGGTGGCCCCACTGTGGAGCTGGTCCTACGTGGGAAGCAGCACAAGAGCTCCAGCAAGGTGGTCCGTAGCATCACCGGTGAGGCTCTGGGTGAGTCTGCTTTTAGCCTAGACCAGGTGACTGCAGGAGAGGCACAACCATACTCTGCCCACCGGGCACCCACCACAACGCCCCCTAGCCTCTCCTCCGTGTGCAACCCCAGGCTCTGCGTGCAACACGTGCCCCGAGCAGTGGGTCAATTTCCAGCAGAAGTGCTACTACTTTGGAAAGGGCCCCAAGCAGTGGATCCAGGCCCGGTTCTCCTGCGAAGACCTGGAAGGGCGGCTGGTCAGCATCCACAGCCAGGAGGAGCAGGTAGCCTGGGCTCTGCGGAAGCTGTGGGCACTACGGTCCGGAGGATACCCCTGTAGCGGGCAGGAGGGACCCAGGCCCACCTCCCCAGTCCTCCAGCCCTGTCCTGTGCCCAGGACTTCCTGACCAAACACGCCAACAAGGAGGACTCCTGGATTGGCCTCCGGGACCTGGATATAGAGGGGGAGTTTATCTGGACGGACGGGAGACCCGTGGACTACAGGTGAGAGGCCTGTGGGAGACCGTGAGCAAGTGGGATGACCGCAGGGAGAGGTGCTCCCGGGATGGGGAGGTTTGTAGGAAGGAAATGAGGCTCCCAGAGAAGGGCTTCTCTAGCCTAAGGGGAAGTAAGAGGGGGCCTTAGGGGAACTCTCCAAGCACAGGCCTCAGGGGTGCATCTGGGGGAAGGGGATATGCGATTGTGCAGGGGGCCGCGTCCGACCCGGAGTGGGACCACCTGTGATGAAAACAGCGGCCCGGGAGGGAGGGCCCGGACTCGGAGGGAGGCCCCTGAGCTCCGGGAGGGGCTCCCGCCCCCACCCCCGACGCAAAGCCTCTCACTGCAGCAACTGGCAGCCGGGGGAGCCCAACAACGCGGACCAGGGCGAGCACTGCGTGATGATGCTGGGCTCAGGGGGCTGGAACGACGCTTTCTGCCGCAGCCAGCTGGACGCCTGGGTGTGCGAGCAGCTGGCCGCATGCGGGTCAGCCCCCCCCTCAGACCCCACGGACGACTCGGTGGACGCTGGCTCAGCCTCACTCTGATCCCTCCCCGCTGACTCCAGGAACAGCCAGGTCGAGCCAGGCCCTGGAGGCCCCCAGCCACAGCTCAGACACCAGTGTGGCTCACAGGGCCCCCGTGGAGACAGCTGACCCTCCCCGCTTCCACCAGTGTCCCCCGGCCCTTGCTCTTCCGCCCAGCTGTCTGTCGTCACCTTCTTGCCTGCAAAAGCCCAGCATCCTGGTCCAGAACCATCCCCGCCGGAGCTCCTTGCCCACTGGGGTGTGGGCTGCCAGGCCAGCTATCCGGGGGGCTGTGCAGAACATGGACCTCTCACCGAGGGCCCTGCCTCCTCAGAAGGGTCCCCTCCACAGCACCACAGGACATAGACCCCACGCCAGCTCAGGCGGCGAGCCCCCTGGCCACCCGCACCAGTGAAACGGGACAGTGGGGTCCCCCTCCCCGAGTCCCTGAGTGAGTACCGGCTGGGTCTGATCTCACAGTGTGGCAAGTGGAGCTGGGAATTCCAGAGGCTTGCATCTGAGAGCACCCCACCCCCAGGCTAACTTTTGAAAGTCCACAGCAACTGAAGTGGAATTCATGCCTTCTCCACCTTGTTTATTTTTTCCTGTTATAAGAATGTACTAGGTGGGCATGGTGGCACACACCTGTAATCCCAGCACTCAGGAGGCTGAAGCAGGAGGATCACCATGAGTTTGAGGCCTACATAGCAAGACCCTGTCTCAAAAAAAAAAAAAAGAAGAATGTACTAGGTGGGCCCTGGACATGAAGACGCTGGGGTCTAACAGACCCTCAGAGATACCGGGCGGCCAGGCTGTGGGTCCCACAGTGAAGTCCCGTGTGCAGGAGTGCGGAGTACAGGGCATAAGGACACACAGGAAGTGCTCCGTGCTGGGCCTGGCACGCAGCCGGCGCAGTCAGTGCTGAGGGTCTGGACGGCAGCTCGGCTCGAGGCCCAGACAGCAGCAGCCTCAGGCTCGGCCAGGTTCAGCTAGTGCCACTGAGGCCCACGCAGGGGTCAGTCAGTTGCCTGGACGCCTTCACCAGAGAGGGTTGGCCTGGGGCCGTGCTCGCCTCTCCCCCCACCCACACCTCCAAGTCCTGCTGGGGGTCAAAGCTCACTATCAAAGCCGGCTCGGCTCGGCATGGCTCCTCAGCACCCCCTGCCATGCTCCTCCTCACCCTGCCTCCAGGTCACCTCTGCTCATCTCCCTATTTTTTGCTTGACTTGAGATGGGGTCTCACTATGTTGCCTCGACCGGCCTTGAACTCCTAGGCTCAAGCAACCCTCCTGCCTCAGCCTCCAGACGCACTGAGACCACACAAGTACCCCACCATGGCCGGCTCCAATCTCCCTCTTCACTGCCCCAAATTTCCTTCCAGCTGAGAAAAAAACAAAGTCTTGCAGGGCGGCCCCCTGTGAGTGCCGAACCACCCTCTCCTTGGCTATGCGCACTCGTGCCTGCCGGGGGGCCTTCCACCCACTGGTCCCTGCTCAGTCTGTCCACGTCTCTGCTCTTGGAGGCCCGTCCCTCGCCCTTCCTTTAAAACTGAACCCCTTTTGGGAGTAGAGCTCAGGGGCTGCCTGGCATGCGCAAAGCCCTGGCTTCAAGCCCCAGCACCAAAAAAATAAAATTCTAACAACTGTACTACCTGACCCACTCCTTTTTTCTCACTCTCCTTTTTCTCTGCCGTACTGGGATCACTGGCGTGTGCCACCGTGTCTGGCTAAATTTCTCCTTGTAACAAAACACATCACTTACTGATCTGTTTCGTGCCTGCCCTCCCCCTTTACTTGACGAGCTGAGGTGAGGCAGGCACCTTTATTTTCTTCCCAGCTGTATCTCCAAGGCTGGCTCATAAATATTTGACAAAATAAACCTGTGGCCACAGATGAACAGAACCTGCTTCATGGCCCGTGAAAGGGCTGTTCGGCTGCCCGGCTGGCCATGGCCAATGCAAGGCTCATCTTCCATCCCCCGCAGCCTGGGGGCTCCAAGGAGACCTCACAGCCCAAACAAAGTAGCTGCAACTGGAAGCCGTCAGATCACAGCCTCTTAGCCTCTCCTGCCCTAAACATGGCGGCCAACCCTGCAGCTTGTCCAGACCCTGCCCTTTCTCCAAAGCCCCGCTCACCCTCAGCTAGAGAGGAGACAGGCCGGCTTCCGAGCTGCCCCTTTGTTCTCTCTCACACCCTCACTGCCCCGGGCAGGGCTCACTGTCCTTGCAGCCTCCTGCCTCCTCTGCAGCACAGCCTGCAAGCCGCTCCTGCCAGGGTCCCCACATCCTGCCTGGGACTGCCACATCCAACTCCTGCACCTCCCTGCAAAGTGCCGTTTCCCAGGCGTCTTAATCCACTTCCTGTTTCCCAGGGCTCCAGCCCCTCCGTCCCTCCTCCAGCCTCTGGCTTCTCTGTGCACCGACCCCCAGACCTGTACACCTGTTGGCCTCCTCCACTCGGCCTCGACGCCACAGCCAAACTGGCATCGTGCCCAGTCTCTCCCGGAGGCCCTGGCTGCCCCGCTCCCACAAACCACAGCTATTCCATGGCTGACTGCGCCACTACAAGCTTCGTCTACCCTGTTCGCGCTGCCTTCTTGTCAGCATTCCGGAGCCCACCCCCAGCCATCACCTTGCCGGGATGGCTGAACACCCCTCTCACCTGCCCCAGGGCATCCCCAATGGCACACCGAAAAGCTACCCCCACCCCGACCTCAAGCCCTTCTCCTAAACAGTGAGGGCGCCCAGCTAAAGGTTCCTACACTTCCCTTTTCTAACAGATTTATTTGGCTCCCGGAGGTAGAGGGAAAGAAATGAGGAAGACAGGATCCAGTTTTCCCCTAAAAATCAAGACAGGTTTCCTGGGAAGAAAGAGCAATCAGGGACCAAAGGGGGGCGGGGGTACTGCCTGACATGAGACCTTGTGATTTTTCAACAAGGAAAATGTGTCCCGTTACCAACTGTGTATTTTACAACTAACTTTAAAACACTGTGAGTGCCCAGCCAACTGTGGACTCCTGCTCCTTGACAAGCAGGTCCCCAGAGCACCCAGCAGCTCCCAGGAATGTGTCACAGATGCAAATTCTCGGGCACACCCCAAATCCACAGCATCTGAGACTTTGGGGGCGGGTCCCAGTCACCCGTGATTTAAGGAGTCCGCCAGGCAGTCCTGACCACCCAAAGCACGGCTTCTCAAACTAAGGTACACAGGGATCCCTGGGAATTGTGCCACAGTGCAGACTGATTCGGGAGGTCTGGCGCGGGCCTGAGATTTTGCACTAACGTGTTTCCCAGGCAACGCTGATGGTGCTGGCCCAAGGACCACACCGTGATAGAGAAGTCCAAGGGGCAGTGGGACAACCATGCTGTTTTACAGGCGCATGGCCACGCCTACTCCATTACTATTCCCCGAGGCTCCTTTCCAGCTGTCAGAAGAGTACATTGCCAGGTGTGGTGGCGCACACCTGTAATCCCAGCACTCTGAAGGCTGTGGCAGGAGGACTGATGCGAGTTTAAGCCCAGCCTGGGCTCTAAATTGAGTTTAAGGCCAGCCTGAACTACTCAGTGAGACCTTGTCTCAGAAAACAACAAAAAGAGTTCATAGACTGCATGGTATGAACTATCTACTCTCTGTTTCCCAACAGTCTGCCAACCCTTGGTCTGTCTTAGCCTGGTCCCCCCGCCCCCCACACACACCAGGCCAGGCCCCTCTCTAGCCTGCCAGGCACCCCTAGCTGTGATTCCTGAAAGTCCCAGCATTTCCACTGGCTCCTTCTCCCCGGCCTACCCACCGGGCTCATCCAGCTCCCCAGCCTTCTCTGAAAGCCCAAGCAAGGCTGAAGCAGCAGCCAAATCCCACATACCCTCCCCTCCTCCCGGGGATGAAATATCCTTGGTCCTTGGCCTCTCTCACTAGCTGGGGACAGGGACCTGGGTCGAGGTGTTGAGCAGATGTCTGAGGCCCCCACACAAGACACAAGACACACTTGGGAAGGCAGGCTCTCTGCATCCTTTATCTCCCAGGGCTTCAGCGGCCCTCCAGGGCGCGATCTCTGGCGATGACAGCCTCCTCGAACTTGATCATGAGCGTAGTCCCCTTGTGCCAGTGTGCCGTGACCTTGGCGGGAAAGCCGCTGTGCGTGAGCACGGCCTCCACGATGCCTGCCGTGAAGCTGGCGCAGTTGAGCGTGCTGTTCTCCTTGGGCACGGAGATGTAGGTGTTGATGAGCGGCTCCCGCTCGATAATGTAGAAGGTGCGGGCGTCATCGTTGGCCTGCTCCAGCTTGTCGGCCTCCTTGCCGAAGAGCGCCTTCCACACGGCCCCCTTGACAAACAGCAACGCTCCGAGCACCTTGGTCTCGCGGCGAGCACCCTTCTCCCGCGCCACCAGCGCATCCAGCACGCGCGCGCCCACCTGGCGGCCCAGCGCGGCCAAGCGCGCCTGCAGCTCGGCCACCGAGAAGACGCGGCTCTGGCAGTGCTGCACCAGCTCGGAGAAGAGCAGCGCGAAGGCGCTGAGGCTCACCTCGGTGCGCGGCCTCGCCAGCGCGCGCTCCAGCAGCGCAGACTTCCCGCGCGTGAAGCGCGCCTCCATGCCTCGGCCGCCCTGTGCGGAGAACAGAGCACCCAGCGTCAGGGCCGCGGGGAGCGGCTCCGACCCGGAGACCCGCGGGAGAACTCGAGGGGGCCCCGGGACGATGCCACCCTGTCCGTCTGCACCAGCGCTGCGCTCCCGGCACAAACCACTCTCTCTCGGCAACTCTCCCGCCCACCCTGACGGAAGCCAGAATAGCCGGGGCGAAAGGGAACAGGTGTATCGGGGACTGGGGACTTGGGCGACGGGGGATCCACGGGCCGGGCCAGAGGGCGGCACGGGGAGAGAACCCGCGCCCGTGGGCAGCTGGGATCGGCCTCGCGGGAAGCCCGCCGCCACGACCCGGGTGGGTGCTGAAAAAGGGGGCCAGAGCAGAAGCTGGGGGCTCGCCCCCTAACTGTTCAGGAAAGTCGCTGGAGGGTGGGAAACTCCAGCGGGGCACACGGCCCCGCCGGGACGTGGGGCGCCAGGAGAGGGCGGTGCGGGGCAGAGGGAAGTGGGGCTGCCGGGGCCCCCCCACCCTCCTCGCGTCTGGGGTGAAGCCTCCACCCTGGGGGAGCAAGGGGAGAGGGAACGTGGCTCCCATCACGCACGGGCGGGGTCCCGGGGATCCGCGATGACCCCGGGGTGTGCGTGGGGCGGGGGACCCGAGACCCCGGGCGCCCCCACCCCGGGTGCAGACGACGGCAGAGGCAGCGCCGAGCCCAGCGGCGAAGAGGGTAGCGGGCTGCGCCGCCGCACGGCCGGACTCCGACAGCCCGGACCCCAAGACCCCGCCCCAGTCCTCAAGGCCGGGGAGAAACCCACCCTGCTCCCAACCCGCAGGGCGGGCCAAAGGGGAGAGGCCGGGCCCCGCGGAAGCCGACAAGCAGGCTCGGTACGTACAGACCCGCGGGGAAGGGCCGGGAAGAGACGACGCGCACCACCGGTAGGGGGTCAGCCGCCGGCAGGGTCTCACCCGGAACCGCGGCACCGCCTCGGGCCCAGCTGCTTTACGGCGCCGTAAAAGGCGCTGCGTGCGCAGGCGCGCGGCGGGACGGGCGTGTGGGCGGGGCGCGCGCGGGGGCGCCTGGGAGCGGCCGCAGGGGGGCGCGCGTGCGCAGGTGGTCTGCTGCCGAGGCGGTGCGGTGCCCGACGGTTCCGGGCAGTTACTTGTGCGCGGCTGTGGCGCACGTGGTCACTTGCTCAGGGCGCACGTAGGGCGATCAATACATATCACTTGTCCCGGGGCCGCGTGTGTGAGCTTCGGAACGAGTTCTCCGGTCCCAACTACGTGCATGAGCGTGCGGGACCCTCGGGAACACGCTTAGGAGTTCCTAGGTACCCGCGCAGCCGCGTGCACCCAGGGAGACATTTGTATCCCGCTGCCTGCGCTGGGCACACGCTCCAGGGCACGGGCACACAGGACCTTTGCGGGGCATTTATTCTTGTCCACCCTTCTGCCCCAGGGCTCCCCACGATGGATCCACGCCCAGTGGGTGACTCGTCCCGTCCAAGTACGTTCGCACCTGCCACCCCCAGCTCCCCCGAGTTGCTCCAAGAACAGGTCAAAAACCACGTTGTTTCCCCTTGATTTTTATCTTTATGAATCACGAAACGTGAGTGCAGAAAAAAGTGGACACACTCGTGTGATCTGAACACACCCGTTCACGCAGCCACGGAATGACAGGGCTCACGTGGCAACACCTGCACTTACAGCACGCGGTGCGAGGAGCTGCGTGTGCCGACTGGGAGGCCGGTGTCCCACGGCACCGACACGCAGTGACACGCTCGTGGGGTCCTCACTGACACAGCCGCGCACCGAGCAATGCCTGTGCTCACGGATGTCATGCCACACAGGTGTGTGTCACATGTGGCACGGACATGCACACAACACACACATTCACGCCCACAACACAAATTCTCGCCCTCCATAAAGTGCTCTTCCGTGGGCACACACAGGGGCGCGCACGACCCCACCACGCTCATTCACCCTGACACGGTGCTCTCTGTCGATGGGTTGAGGGGCATGTTTGCAGCTGGCTGGGGGAGCTGGTTTCCCATCTCAGTAGCGGCCGCAAATCCTGTCCGCCGGGCTGTGACGGCAGTGTGCTCTTACTTAGCGGGCTCTGGGAGCGGGGAGGGAGAAATCAGAGTCAGGCGGACCCCCCGCCCCCCGCAAAGACCGCAGGCCACGCCTGCGCCCACCCTTACCACTTTCCTGGACCCCGGCTTACGTGTGTTTGACTTCTTCTCCAGAGCCTCAAGGATTTTCTGTGTGTTTTGTTTGATTTGTGTTATGTCTGGTGGGAGAGAGGGAGGCAAGTGATGCTGGGGTGTCCCTCCAGACATCCCCTGCTTCCACTGGGAGCTCCCTCAGGACAGCTTCCAGCCTGGGGCTCCCCACAGTCCTGTAGTCAGGGCTCTGGACAGTGTTAAGTAGCCCGTGAGAGACTCAGTCTCATCCTTTGCCCCTTCCAAGCCCTGAGCTCCTCGCCCGGTGCTGGGCGCTAGAACAGATTCACTCGGGGGAGGGCAGCTCTGCGGAGGGCACCTGTGGGCACCGGCTTCAGTCTCTGGTCCGCGGCTTTAACCTGGTTCTGGACTGTGACGATGCTGCTGGTGACCTCCTGGATGTGGCGCTGGACCTTGATCCAGCCCTTCCTTTGCTCTTCCTGGCACTCCAGCGCTGAGTTTGAGACTGAGGGCATGGGATGCTGTGTTTGCACGACCACCCCTCTCCTGAGCACCCCCAAGCCCCGCGGGCCTCCCACAGAACCCGCACTCACTGTTGGAAAGTTCCCTTTTTAGGCTCAGCATCTCCCTGGACATCTCAGCGGCTGTTTAGGAGAGGGCAGGGCTGGGGGCAGAGCCAGCAGGAAGGCAGCGGGTCTAGGGGAAACGCTGGGTCCCCCGGCTCACCCCACCCCCAAGAACACTCACTCTTCACCAGGACCAAAGCAGAAAGCGCGATGCAGAACAGAAATATCAGGGTGAGGAACACGTACAGGCTCGTGACGGACCTCTGCAGCCACACCGGGACCTGGGCACTGTCTGAGGGTGACCTGGGCTGGGCTGGGGCTGGGGCAGAGAGGCCAGGTGACCTGCAGGGCCTGCAGCACCGGCCAGACCATCAGCACTTCTCCAACACCATCAGCGGCTCACTGTTCCAACACCTGGGCAGCTGGGGCCGTCAGTGACGTTCACCATCACCATCAGCAACTCGGCCGCCGCCACCCGCTTCCACCGGCACTGGCACACCCGGCAGCGTCGGTGTTGGTTGCCCACAGTGTCACCACCAAGGAGTTTCATCCGTACCCTCAGCAGCCCTGTCACCTCTTCCTTCCCCATCAACCCGCCTTGTCACTTACAGTCTCCCCACCACTCACCGGTGCCTCCCACAGCACCCGCAGGAGCGGTTTAGATACCCCGTCACCACCACCGCCGGAAAGCTACCCCACACTGTCACACCACAGTCCTCAAAGCCGCCATTCACTGCCACTCCCCGCAGTGCCCCTTCCCAAGCTGGGGGGCTGTGGGCAGGCAGTGGCCGCTCACCTCGTTTCAGGGGTCCTGGATGACCACCCTTGGGCTGGTTCCGGTCCCTGCAGGTCAAGGTGATGTTCTCGTACTCGGGGTCACAGGCATCTGCGTGTGATTTGGGGAGAAGGTTTGCGCAGGACTGCCAGATGCACCCAACGCTGAACACAGAACACTGCTAGGGGTGTTCCATGGGTAGCAGAGCCAGTGTATGTGGGGGTCTGTGGCCAGGGCACCACGGAGCCCTCCGGTGCCCACCGCTGTCCCCGTCATCCTCTCCCATCCGAGCCCACCTTCCAGACCCCCCCCTTCCCACCCCCAGGTTCCTGACCTTTGCTGCCTCCCGTCTCCCCCCGGTGCTTGTCTTTGAAGGCCGCTGCTTGCATTGCGACCTGCTGCTTCACGCCGATCTGGAAGGTTCCATGGTGCCCAACCTGCCCGTGTGTCCACACATCCCCGCCCACCGGAAGCTGTGGGGCTTCCGATGTGGAAATCTCGGGGTGGGAAAGGAAATGAGGCTCGGCCTCCTCCTTTCGGGGATCCGGGACTCTACCCCCCTGGGATGTTCTCACTGCCCCGCCACACTCAAGGGGCTCTAAGAGGACCTGTGTCTCAGGGACAGCAAGGAAAAGAAGCCCCTAGACTCAGAATAGGAACTGTGCAGGAAGGTGTGTATGCGTGCGTGTGTGCGTGTGTGCGTGCGTGTGTGTGTGTGTGTAGACAGAGACTTCCTGGGTGAATTCCGTCTTCTGTCTCAGTAGAGAAGTTGATGGCCCCAGGGTCTCAGCTGGGCGGGTGAGGGCTGTGGTTTAGGAGGTAGGATTTTGGGTTCCTCTGACATCATCCTTCCTGGAGCCCCAGTCCCACCCCACAGCCCCCCACTCCAGTTCTTCTTCTTTAAGGCCCTGTGAATCCAGGCATGATGGCACACACTCGTAACCCCAGTACTCTGGGAGGCTGAGGCAGTAGGGATGGCAGGTTCAACCCCAGCCTGGGTAACTTAGTGACTTAGTGAGACCCTGTCTCCAAATAAACAAAGGGAGGTTGGGGATGTAGGGATGTAGCTCAGTGCAGAGGCCCTGGATTCAGTTAACCCTGGAACTCCATACCCACATTTGGGACTGAGGTCAGACCACATTCTTACCCTCTGCTTTGGTGGGATCCTGCAGGCAGAGTTTACCTCTTCCTGGAGACCCCAGAGGGAGAAACAAACTCCCTTTTCTTTCTTTCTTTCTTTCTTTTTTTTTTTTTAAATCAAATCCCAGCACTCAAGAGGCTGAGGCAGGAAGATTGCTGCAAATTGAAGGCCAGTCTGGGCTACATACTGAGTTCAAGGCCAGCCTGCAGTACTTATCAAGACCTTGTCTCAAAAAATAAAAGCTATTCATGAAACTAGGTGTGGCAGCACACATCTGCAGTCCCAGCTACTCAGGAGGCTGAGGCAGGAAGATCACTAGAGCCCAGGAGTCCAGAACCAGCTACTTGGACAACATAGAAATACAGGCCCCCCCATCTCAAAAAAATAAAATAAAAATAACTGAAAAATTTTAATAAGGTAGCTTACAGTTGATCTTTTTTCCTTATCTCTCCGTGTTTGTTTTATGACCCAGTTTTAGAGCTCAAAAATGTGTTTCTCCTCAGGCACTCCCTACTTCACACCGGCCATATTTCAAGTGTTAGTTTTCTCTCTGGAAGGAAAATGAGAAGTAGAAGACTTTCGGATCGAGTGTAGGAAGTGAGTTCCCCTGTATTTTGGCTTAAGCTGTGTGGTTACATTCACAGTAGCTTTGCAATGGTCACTGCGATCCAGTGACGATAATGTTCTGTCTCCAAAACATTGCCAAATCCTGTCTCCCCAGGAAAAATCAATGTAATAGTGATTCGACGCCAGCTCCACTACACCAGGTCTTAGAAAAAAAGGTCAGTCATCGGGTTACAACAGCCCTAGGAGACGGACCAATTGGAAGCGGGCTCTGCTCTGATGGACAGCTGCGGGGGCGGGACTTCAGCCTTGAGGTATTTTCTGGCTTGGATTGGTCTGGGACCCTGCCCTAGCGCTCAGCAGCCTTCCTCTTTTTTTTTTTTTTTTTTTTTTTTTTTTTTAAAGACAGGGTCACACTATATGCCCAGGCTGACTTCGAACTCGCTATGTAGCCCAAGCTGGCCTCAAACTCGTGGCACTCCTCCTGCTTCAGCCTCCCAAGCACTGGGATTACAGACGTGCACTTGGACTTCCTTTCAGGAACAAGTAGCTGTTAAACTGGAGCCCTGCAAACAGCCATGTCATGTAGGAAACATTCAGAGTGTTGCCTGGCCAGCATCTTCCTTTCACGGAATAATAATCTCGATTTTCTTTTCAAATAGAAAACACATTTGTAATCCCAGCCCTCAGGAGGCTGAGGCAGAAGGATTTCAAGTTCAAGACAAGCCTGGACAACACAATAGCAAATTTGGAGCCAGCCTGAGCAACATGGTGAGACTGTGTCCAAGAGGGAGGGGGAGTTTTAAAGAAAAGAAAGAATAAAGAAAAAGAAAATGTGTCCGCCAGGCATGTTGGCACTGCCTATAATCCCAGCACTTGGGTGGCTGAGTCAGGAGGATCACCATGAGATAAAGGCCAGCCTGGACTAAAAAGGGAGATCCTGTCTCAACCCTCTCCGAAGGAGAAAAACCTGTAGTGCCATAGTAATTGTGCACTCTCTGTGTGTGGCCGTGCATAAGTATACATGCGGTACATGCCCCTGAGTGACATATCTCAGTGCATGTATGGTTATTCATTCAACATTTATGAGTGCCTATTGTGTACCATGCTCTTTTCTAAGCATACAAGGAGCCAGGAAGTCTTCTGCTCTGGATGGATATTTTTTTTCCTTCTGTTTATTTTGTTTTGCTGTATTGAGGGTTGAACCCAGGATCTCACACGGAGCTGCACCCCAGCTCGTTCTTTTTTTTTTTTTTTTTTTTTTTCTTACAAGGTCTTGCACTAAGCTGCCCAGGCTGAGCTCAGACTCGAGAACCTCCTGCTTCAGCCTCCTGGGTAGCTGGGATCACAGGCATGGGCCACTGAACCAGCTGGTTTTTCAGGTCTAGTACTCACAGGGAGCAAGTGCCCTGGGTACGGCCAGTTGGAACTTTGAAAGTACACCTGCCCTTGTGGAAACGTGAACTTGTGACTCAGCCCCAGGCAGACATTCTCGGTAAGCCTCGGCAGATACCCCTCCTGCTCCCTGCCGACTCTGCCTGTAACGTTGGGGGTCCCTCCTCCTGTTGGGGGCATGAAGTTAGGGGCTCAGGGCGCAGGGCTCCGGGTCCTTCTGACACTGTGGTTACTGGAGGTGTCTACGACCAGCCTGACCTCCCTGTTGGGGGTGACGGAGAAGGCACCAGAAAGCTCCTGGGGGGCCTGGGACGCACGGTGACCCTCAAGGTGGCCTCCACGCTGAGACTCGCGTCCCCTCCCGCCGGCAGCCAGGAGCCTCAGCTTGGGGTGACGCTAGATGATGCGGGGGCCCCATTCTTGGAAGAAGAGTTGGGAGACACCGGGGAAGGAGGAAAGCAGGCGCGGGAAGGTCCGGGGAAGGATGGAGGAGGTGGTTCTTCTGGGAGGCCGGATCAACCCCGGTGCCCCGCGCCGCTGAAGAAACCACACACAGCCTCACGTACCCTGCCTTCTTCCTCATCTCCTGGTTTATTTATTTCCAGCCCCCCGCCAGGCTCGCCCCGCTTCGTTAGCCCCGCCCAAACCACGCCATTGTGCTCAGGCGGCCACGCGCAGGCGACAGCAGCGCGCCGCGGTCCAGTCCATGCCCGCGCACTGGCAGTGGCATGTGGTCCCCGCGCGCACGTCCCACGAGCCGCAGGCCATGCCGCACGCGCAGCCAGTGACCTCGAAGCCTGCAGGGAGACCGGGTGGGGCGCTTGGACCCGGAACGGGGAGGCTGCAGGGGGGCTGGGCGTGGAGGTGCCGGATGTGGGGACAGGGCTGCAGGCCTGGACACCCCGGGGTCCTAAGGAAAGGGGATTTCTGGCCCCTTTGGAGCTGAACATGGGAGGAGATGTGTACTCACCTGAGGGACAGGTGGCCAGATTGCCCCTGGAGGAGACACTCCTGCAGTCCAGGTCCAAGTTCTTCAGATCCCCTAAAACTGCACGGGAGGGGCAGGACCACCGGTGAGACCCAGCTGCCCCTTCACCCTCAGTGCCCCCGGGGCCCTGGTGACTTGGAGTTAGGCAGAGAATCTAAAGCTTCCTTGTAGCCAGCTGTGGTGGTGCGGGCCTGTAATCCCTGCTGTCTGCGAGACTGAGGCAGAAAGATTGCAACTTCAAGCCCAGCCTGGGCTACTTAGCACCTAAGTGAGACCCTGTTTCAGAATATAAAGTTTCCCTGGGAATGCACTGCTGCCTTGCTCAGTAGTAGAGCGCTTGTCCAGCATGCTGGAGGCCCTGGGTTCAATCCTCAGGCCCAAAGAAAAGCACATTCCCCCGGGAAAGGCCTGGGGAGGGGCCAGGAGCCCTGGGCCTTGACCTGGGTGCTTTGGAGGAAGGCGAGGTTTGAGAGGCGGGTTGGGGGATGGCTTGGGGAGCTGGGCTGAGTCTGGGCCTTGGCTGGAGATGGGGCTGGCCCGGCTGGGGTGAGCGTTGGGATGGGCTGGGGTTGGCTTGAGGCGAAGGTTTGGGTCTCCCTGGGCCTGGACTGGGGGCCGGGTCAGGTCCTCACTGAGAGAGCTGGCTTGGCTTTGGATCTTCTGATTGATGGCTTCGTCCACAGGACACAGTGACTCACTGGACACCAGCAGCCCCAAGGCGGAGAGGAGGAGGAGGGAGACAGCCTTCATCGTGCAGGGGCTGCCAGAGGGAACAGGGCACCCCCCTCCGAGTTAGGCCCTCTCTGTGCAGGAGAGGAGGACCCGGAACCCACGGTGCCCGCGGGGATGAAGACAGAGCCCCAGCTTTGCCTCTGGGCCCGGGACCGGGACTCCAGCGTGGGCACAAAAGGCCATCACTCACCTGCCCTGTGAGCTCAGCAAGACACAGTCAGTTCTGGGGTAGGAACTCCTGTGCCACTGTTCTCCCTCAGAGACCTCTGGTGTGGAATTTACTCTGGGTGTGGAATAAGTACCTGGGCCGCCTGCCATGCCCACATCCGGGGCTCTGCCCACATCCGGGGCCAACAGGAACCCCTGGAGCAGATTCATGGATGGGGGTGGGGGGAATGTACCCTCCTCCCTGCCGCAATATCCCGCTTCAGGTGACCGCTGCATCCGGACACTGGTCAGGGCTGCTGCCCAGAGATGAGTCCAGGAGCTGTGGTCTGAGAAACAGGCAGAGAAACAAGCGTTTGCATTCAAGGCCGGAGAGGACAGCGCACACCCGGCCGAGACCATGCGCCGCCCTGAGCGGGCATCGGGTGTCACGTTCATACGCAAAGGCTCCTGGGAGTGGGTGCACCTTGCCTAACCCCCTCGGTGGGCTTACCCTCAAGAGAAACCGGCACACTGTCTCCATGGACCACACCACCAGCTTCTGTAGGATCGCCGGCTAGGCAAGCAAGGTGGTTACATTACTTTTGTTTGTTTGTTTCCAACACAATGGACTTTTACCTAGAGAAATACACATGCCATAAAATTGACCGTGTTTAAGTGTACGAATCAGTGGGTGTTAAGGACATTCACGTTGTTCTACAACCGTCACCACCATAATCTCCAGGAAAAGAAAATTTTTTTTCGAGACAGCTTCTCACTGTGTAGTGCAGGCTGGCCTTGAACTCATGGCAGTCCTCCTGCCTCAGCCTCCCCAGTGCTGGATTACAGGTGTGCACCACCACACCCAGCCATGCAGTGTCTTTAACTGGCCACGATATGGAGGCATGAGATCCCTGTGTAAAAGCAGCAAGGGTCCAAAATGGGGCGCTATGTGCTGTGCACCTGTCATGTGCTGACCACTGGGTATGCAGCAGGAATGAACAGACACTGCTCTCCCTAGATAAACCCTTTGGCTGCCGAGCAGACAGATACCACCAGAATGCTTGACAGCCTTGGGTACCCTCCCCCCTGGAAGGAGAAGGACCTGGTTCCAGGAGAACTTCCAGCCTAATTCTCTGGCCCCATGCGGAATGAATTCAGGAAGGATCTTGTGGAAGAGAAGGCTGAAGATGGAAGACAGGTCAGAGTTCATTGGGGGAACAAGCTAAGGAGGGGATTGTAGTGGAGGACGCAGCATGTCCCAAGGTCCTGAGGCAGACTGGAGAGTATTGATTTTAAGAGACAGGACATGAACTACTAAGACAGGAAAGCAAGGAACCTGCTTGGGACAGGGCTCTGTCTTGTCTGACCCTTCTAGATTTGGGGCTCAATTTCTGCCCCACTTTCCCCCCTCCCTGAGTCCCAGCTCATCCCTTCAGCTTGAAGACCCTTAGACACGGCCAAGAAGCAAAGAGTTGTGCAAGAAAAATAAACTCTTTTGGAGGACTGGGTGGGTGGCTCAGTGGCAGAGCACTTACCTGGAGAGTGCAACCCTGGGTTGCATCCCTTGTACCAGAAAAATAATCTGTCTTAATTTTTAGATCATCTTTGAAGACTCTAATTTTCAAAGCTTTTAGCAGAGAACTTTTCAGATAAAAGCTTTGGAAGGATTCAGGAGAAATGAACAGTGTTTAGCAGGGTGCTGGGTGGTGCCTCTAGAGTCCCCTGGGGATCCAGTTTGAAAACCTTTGGGACAGCGGGAAGAAAGAGCGATGTATCCCTTCTCTTTTGAAAACTAAAATCCTTCTATTTCACCACTTTCCACCAGTAAAAGTGAGCTCTACTGACCTCAATTTCACATCTAATGCTATCAAATAAAATCCTAGAAATAACAGAATAGTCACATACTTAGACTCTTAAAATCAGTTTTTTAAAAATGTTTTATTCTTTTAATTTAAGTTTATTGGTATAATTTAGGTACACACAATGATCACATTCATTATAGGGAATTTGTACCTTTTCATGCTATTAAAGTCAGTTTTATGGAAGTACAATTTACATATAATATATACAATTTACATAGAATATACCTTTTGAAGTGCCTGGTTAGATGCGTTTTAACAAAGGTATAGATAAAGATATAGGTATAGATATAGATGATGTATAGATGATGTAGATACGTAGATATAGATATATTTTCCTGCTGTATGTTTTGTGTTCCCTGAGCAGAGTCTAAAATAGGTAGACATAGATGTAAACATAGATGATACAGATGATGTAGGCATATACATATATGTACATGTAGATATCTGCCTGCTGTATGTCAAGCGAACGTGATCACCACCACACTACGGAAACTGTTCTGCCTGCTGTGTGAATGTTTTGTTTTTCTTAAGGAGAGTCTGTCAAGGGGCTGGGGATTTAGCTCAGTGGCAAAAGCGCCTGCCTGGCAAGCACAAGGTCGTGAGTTCGGTTCCTGGTACCGGAGAAAAACCAAAAAAATAAAAAAGGAGAGTCTATCGAATAAGTCAGGTTTTATTGTGTCATTTAGGGAGTGAACTTCTGCATACAGTCATGTCGCCATCACCATCAAATGCCTGTTTTTTAAATTTGTATCTGTCCATGTCTGCGGTACACAGTGACTGAACCCCTCACGGGCAGCTAGCTGGTGCCTGTACATCACACATCTGCCTTCTTGTTTCCCCGCTTCCCCCGCCCCTCTCCCACTCCCTCTGCCTCTTGTAAAAGCCATTTTGTAAGAGCCAGCGCTTATCATTTAAAGTATAGTTAGGCAAAACAAGAGTTTCTAAAAGCCCCCAAGAAAAAAGTCTCTGTCTCATGAAGCCACGTAGGATTTTTCTGCCTCATATACTGGTTTTCTTTATGAATGTTTACAACTGTCAATGGCTTGTTCGCCTCCTGTTAATATGCTTCTGTCCTTGAAATCTAATTTGAACAAAGAGGACTTGCGTCAATCATCAATCACTCAGAAGCCTAGAAACTGCTGCTAGCCTCCGGAGCAAATCCAGGCTTCTGATTGGCTGCCTGACTAGATAGGAACTTGTTGCCCTGGTGATGAGGTGGGGATGGCCGGCGCCTGTAGCAAATCAGAAAAGAATCCCTGACACTGCTTCCTCTCCAAAGAGAATGATGGAAAACAAAAGTCAAAGCCTTCTCTATATTCAGGAGATTGAAGCCAGACCCTCTCTCTCACCATGTAATAAATGAAAATCAAAATAGAGCAAAGATCCAAACGTTAAAAACAAACATTGAGCCTACTGAAAGATAAGACAGGTACAGCTCTTGAAGTCATGGCTACGGGCAAGGACTTTCTTAACAGAACCTCAGTGGCTTAAGAAATAATACTGAGAATCAACAAATGGGATCCTCAGGTTAAAAAGCTTCTGCACAGCAAGCAACCAACATGCTGTAGAGCATAAAATGTGGAAAAATTGCCAGCTATGACTCAGACGGAAAACGAATGCCTAGAATATATAAAGAACTCAAAAATTTACCCCCCATATGACAGACCCAATCAAACATCAGCCAAGCGAAATGAAGACACTTCTCAAAAGAAGCACACATGGCCAATAAACATGTGGAAAAATGGTCAGATCACAGGCTATTAGAGAAATGCAAATTAAAACAACACAGATTCCATCTCACTCCAGAAAGAATGGCTATCATTAAGAAGTCCAATAACAAACGCTGGTGTGGCTGTGGTGAAAAAGGAACCCTACTTCACGGGTGGGAGTGTAAACTGGTACATCACTATGGAAATCAGTATGGAGATCCCTCTAAAATTGGGGTCAGCTCTGCACATAATTGTGTTAGCTCTTATGGACCAGGTCCACTTATTCACTCCGATTTTACCTGGCCTGTCTCACCTCTCTTCAGGCTGAAGACATCAGGATGACAGTAAGTAAAATGTTAGACGGACTTGGTGGCACACACCTGTCATCCCAGCACTCAGGAGGCTGAGGCAGGAGGGTTGCCATGCGTTTGGCAAATAAATAAAATAAAACAAAACAAAACAGAAAAAAAGGAGTAAGTAAACCGCTTTCCAGGGTCTGCAGGGACATCAGCAGTGTGTTCAATGTCCCCTACAGCGATGCCACAGGACCCGGCCACTGTCCTAACCCTTCAGCCACCCCGGACTCCGGGAAAGCAGAGCCCGCAGGCCACCCGGGACACGTCCACCCCCATGCGGGAACCATGGCCCCACATGGGAACTGCAACCCCCACCCATCATGCCCTGCGACGCTGTCTCCCAGGACCCACAGGCCGCCCTGAACGCAGGTCAGCCAGACCACGACTCGCACAGGATGGCCCGGCTGCCGGTGACACAAACCCACAGTCTTGCCTTTGTTCCCCTTTTTCTATAAAACCCCAACGTTTCTGCAAACCCCTTGAACACAGACCCTGAACTTTACCTGGGCTTCCCAGCACAGCCGTGTGGGACAGGAATGATCTTCAGCCCTGTCTTCCCAGCACTCGTGGAGGCTGAGGCAGGAGAGTCACAAGTTCAAGCTCAGCCTAGGCAGCTTACTGAGTGAGTAAGACCCTGTCTCAAACTAAATACTAAAGAAAAGGCTTCTGGGTGACTGTGCATGAGGAACACTCCTGGGATCAAGTCTAGCTCCTAGTGGCCTTGAGCAAGCAGAGAAGTTCTTCTAAGCCTCGGTTTCCCAAAGTGTGAGATTGGAGTACCCAAGTGTGGTGGTGCACGCCTGTCATCCCAGCACTCAGGAGGCTGAGGCGGGAGGGTCACCATGAGTTTAAAGCCAGCCTAAGCTACATAGTGAGACCCTGCCTCAAAAAATGAAAAAGATTGGAGCATTACTATTAATGATCTCACAGGGCCACAGTGAGGACTCTCTTTTTTTTTTTTTTTTTTTTTTTTTTTTTTTTTTTTTTTTTTTTTTTTTTTTTTTTTTTTTTTTTTTTTTTTTTTTTGGTTTTTCTCTGGTACCAGGAACCGAACTCACGACCTTGCGCTTGCCAGGGAAGCACTTTTGCCGCTGAGCTAAATCCCCAGCCCCCCCCTTTTTTTTTTAAAACAGTCTTGCAGTGTAATCCAGGACGGCATTGAACTCACGTGATCCTCCTGCCTCAGCCTCCCCTCCCACACTGGGATAACCAGTGTGCACCCCTACGCCCCACAGGCCTGCTTTATGTGACGCTGCATCAATTATGCTGGACAGGACATGGAATGTGGTAAAGATCTCATAAGTCACGCCTTCTGTTTTCTGTTTTCCAGAACCCCTCCAACCTTTGGGCTTGCAGCTGTCCCAGGAAGGACCACGCACACCTGGTCCTGTCTTGCTGGCCTGGCCCTGGCAGCCGTCGTGCGTCCCCCTTGGAGCAAAACCTTTCCCCTCCTGGGGCGGTTTCCTCATCCAACACTTTTTCACAATGTTCTTGGTAGCAGCTGTTGGTTAATTTGTGTTTTTAAGATTTTGAGCAACTTTTTCTCGTTAAAAAAAAAAAAAAAAATTAAAAGGGGAAGCTGTCTCCGCTTCCTCCACGTCTGGGGCCCAGCGCCACCGACTCCTTTCTTCCCTGTGGCCCCCTACACCGGCTCTCCTTGGTTGATTGAGCCACCTCGCTTCCTCTTCTGCCGGGAGCCACCAGCCCATGCTGCAAGTCCCAGCCACATCCGATTTGCCCCCTTGGCAGCCAGGGTCTGTGGGCTCCCCCTCGCCACCGCCTCCTCCGTGCCCCTCCCCCCGCAGCACCTGGTCACCCTGGACCCTGAGGCTTCTAAAGGTTCAGCAAGTTTTCGTGCTGGTGTCTGAAGCCTGCGTCTCCCCGAGCTAAACAATCGTCCGCAGCACCTGATGTGTTGAACAAGTCAGCCAGCATGGGCGTGTGCCTGTTATCCCAGCAGTCAGGAAGCTGAGGCAGGAGGATCTCTGTGAGTTCGAGGCCAGCCTGAAGTACATGGCAAGACTGTCTCCCAAGAGAAAAGAAGGAAGGGAGGGAAGGAGGGAGGAAGGGAGGGAAGGAGGGAGGAAGGAAGGAAGGAAGGAAGGAAGGAAGGAAGGAAGGAAGGAAGGAAGGAAGGAAGGAAGGAAGGAAAAGAAAATCCGCTGTTACTTTCCATACAAGCTGAGCTGCTGAGGGAAGGAAAAGTTCGTTCCAGAACTGCACTTTATTCCCGGGGAAGGAAGGACAAGGCCAGCAACAATCCTCAGCAGACGACGGGTGGAGTCGGGCAAGATAGTGCCCGCCTGCATCCCAGCTACTCAGGACGCTGAGGCAGGAGGATCCCAACTTCAAAGACAGCCTGGACAATTTATCGAGACCTTTGTTCAAAAATAAAATTGAAAAGGGCTGAAGATGTGTGCGCTCAGCAGTGGAGCCCTTGGCTACTGTTCGCACCACCTGGGCTGCAGTCCCAGTACTGTAGCGCTGCAGAGAGAGGAGAGAGGGAAGGGCAGAGGAGGGGGAGATCGGGCGAAGAAGCGACGGTTGTCACCACCTCTATGGGGAGATTCCTGGGTACCAGGGACACCCTTGAGCCCAGCGGAGAGTCACAGCTGGGTGACTTTCCAGACCCCCTGATGTGAGCCGGGTCGCACGATTCTGCCTGCAGTGGAATCTGTGACCGGGGCTGGGGTTCTCACACCCGCTTACAGGAGAACGCGGGGCGAGTTATGTGCATTAGGAGGGATCAGCCGATGAAACCCAGGCGCGGGACATCCTGCGGGGCAGGCAGGGAACCCCGGAGCGAGAACCCCGGAGCGAGGATGCCACAGGACAGGAAGCAGGGGCCTCTGGGGCGCCTGGGCTCAAGGGGAGGGGGTGCGTTGCGGGGGGCGGGGCAGCAGGGTGCTGTGTGTCGGGAATCAGGAATTCCTACCCGGACACACAGGGGAACGGAGTCGCGGGGGCGGCCTCCTGGGGTGCAGAGACGGGGCGGGTTGGAGGACTGGAGCCGCCGCCACGCCCACCGGGGCCCTGGACCCTTGCAGGCTGTCTTCTTTGAAGCAGAAACACGAGATCACCAGGCGTGAGGAAGTAGCACGCGCGGAGGCGGCCTAAGGGACCACGTCTCCGCTCAGAGCCAGCGTCACCCCTGCCCTACTTCTCCGGGGCCTCTAGGGTCACCCGAGCCCCAGCCGCGTTGACAGGCTCTGGTCAAAGCCCGGGAAGTTGGGCCACAGTGCCGCCTGGCGTCCGCGACGCATGTGCTAAGGTGGGGCTGACAACCAACTCCCGCCCCCCACCAGGGACTGAGGACCTGCGTTCTCCCACATCCCTGCCCCACGCAGTGCGGCTCTGCTGCTGGGGAGGCTGAGACAGGAAGATCCTTCCTCACCGCGGCACTGCTGGTGCACGGTGCTTCGTGCCTGCCTCGGGCCCCACTTGCACGACGGCGCGTGCAGTTTTTCTTAGATTGCCCCGTGTGCTTAGAAGGATCGATGACCCCAACCTCAGCAAGCTCCTGGGTGCCCTAAAGGCGACGCAAGGACAAAAAGCAGCGCTCCGCCAGGAGGCGACTTCCTCGCCCCTGCCCTGCCCAGACAGTGTGGGCAAAGAAGCCTCGTGGGCCCCGGAGCAGAGCGCAGCCTTTGCCTCTCCACCGTCTGGGCAGAGGGTCGGGTTCTCCTATCCTCTCCCACCTTCAAACCCGAAAGTCCCAACCCCCTGCACATAAAGCAACTAGCTGGAGACAAGGCCTTTACAGAGATAATTAAGAAGAGGAAATTAAATGCGGACCCGAAGAGGGGGCAGGGAGGTGAGAAGGATTGAAGTATGTATAAATCTTCCCAAAGGAATCCCATTAATTTTTTAAAAATGCTTTAAGAATTTAAAATAAACCCATGAAGGTTTTTTAATTTTCAAAGAGGAAATCAGGACACAGACATATAGAGAGAGATGACCAGGACGAAGAGGGAAGAGAGCTCAGCTAGTCAGGTGCTCAGGAGAGCACCTTAACTTCTGCTAAGCCACCCAGTCTGTTTTGTGACTGCAACCCTAGCAAATACACCCACTGAAGGCTCTGCTAAGTCCTGCAGCCAGGAGCACCCTGGAGCTTAGAAGAAGCAGGGAGGGTCTGCCATGGGACCATCCTTGCTTGAACGCAGGGTCTGATCCCTGAAGCCAGAGACAACCCAGCCTCTGTGCTGCCGGTCCCATGGGACCAGTTCCTGCCTGTAATCCCAGCACTCTAGGAGGCTGAGGCAGGACGATCCCAAGTTGGAAGCCAGCCCTGTAAGACTTTGTCTCAAATAACCACAATACTACCACTCCTACCAGAGAGCAGCCAGGAGAAGCCTAGTGACAAAGGAGTGACACCGTGCCACCAGCTGTGCCACACTCCCTGCTGTCTGCTCTGCAAAGTGGCTGCTGGGACAGGGACCAGCAAGGCAGCCAGGCTTCACTGCGAGTGAATCCTGGAACTGCCCACTGTCAAACCAGAGCCAGGCTCTTAGCCTCCCCGAGGGCCGAGGAGGGGCAGCCGGCTCCCTCAGAAAGAAAGCGAGGGGCGGGCGCCAGCTGGCGGGGAGAGGGAGTTTATTTCCGCGCAGAGGGAGGGGCCGGGCAAAGGTCAGGGCAGGGGGACTTCTTCCAGCTTCTGGTCCAAGGTCTTGAGGTCGTCTAGGAACCGAGTGGGCGTGAGGATGTGAGAGGAGCCTGGGCAGAGGCGAGAGGGTCAGGGCGGCCGGTGCTGCCTCGGCCGCTGGCCCTGCCTGGCCGGGGTCTCGGTGAGAGGGCCCATCCCTGCCCCCAGCCACCCAGGCCCCCGTCTGCCTAAGGACACAGGCGTCTGGAAGCTTACAGGGGTCCCGTACCCCCGCGAGCCCTGGGAACCTAAGCCCCGGGGCCCCCAGAGTCCAGCCCCAGCCCGACCCCCCAGAATCTTCATCCCCTGGAACTCCAGCCTGGCCACTCACCAATAAGCACCTCCCACTTGCCCTCAGTGGCCCTGGTCACCTCGTAGGCCGCCCTCATCTCCGACATGGCCATGCCACCCAGGACATACACGATGAGTCTGGGCCCAGCCCGAGCCTCCACACCCACCTTGTTCTTGTGCCAGTGGCCAAAACGGGCACTTTGGGGAGGAAAGGAGTGGGGTGGGGACAGCGGTCAGGCCGGGCCAAGACACATGTCCCCCCCACACACACACACACAGGCCCAGCTGGAGTCAGGGCGTCCCCGGACCCCCACCTGACGGCGGCCTGGGAGCTGGGCGCGGGGGCAGGGTCAGACACAAAGGGCCACAGCTTGCGGTCCAGCCGGTCCTCCACGGCATCCTAGGTGGCCAGAGGGGGAGGCTCAGGGGCCAGCGTCCTGGCAGACAGGAGTGGCCTACACCTCCTGCCCCTCGGAGACCTCAGAGTCCAGGCATCCCAGGTCCATGGGATGCGGAGCCAACGCTGGACAGGCTGGGCCCCTGAGGTTGCTGCCTTCAGGCCCCAGGACGGCTGGGGGCTCTGTGGGGGTGCTTGGGATGGGGGCAAGGGCAGAGGGGACACAGAGGGGGTGGCCGGTGGGTACAGAGGAAGTGCTGCCACCCAGCTTCTTCCGGTGCCCCCCTCAGCAGAGCAGGCTGGGCACCAGGGAATGCAATAATGAGGGATTTTTCCACTAAGCCCTGCGGCTTAGTGCTGGGAGGCTGAGCTGCTGCCGGGCCCAGGGGGGCCGCCCCAGCCCCCAGGTACCTCCATGACGTCCTTGACGAGCGGAGTCCAGCGGGACAGCTGATAGGTGGGCTCCGTGCGCTCCCTCCGCTCCAGTCTGCTGGCGGTCCCCGAGCCCTGAGCGGGCCAGGCAGGAGGTGGAGGGTGAGGAGGAGAGGGTCACAGACAGGACTGCGGCTCAGGGGGCTGTGCAGACGGAGAAGGTGCACGGAACAGAAAGTGACAGAAACCAGAGCGAGCGCGGGAGACGGGAAGAGAAAGAGAGGAGGCTGGAGGGCTGTGGAGAAGCAGGGCCAGGCCCAGAGAGAGGCGGAGGAGCTAAGCGGAGTCCAGCGAGGAAGCTGCAAGTGTGAAGGCGGGGTGGGGGGGCATCCCCAAGGCATCCAGGAGTCAGTGTGCCCTGCCCTCCGACGTGGGGGGCACTGCCCCTGGCCCTAGCGCTCAGGCCCACACCCACCACATGCACCACGGCCAGGACCAGCAGTGCAGTGGCCTTGCTCCCCCTGTGGCCCAGGGCGTGACCCGGGACTTGGGCTGGCCCGCTGCTCTGTGACCCTATGCCCTCCCTGCGCGCCCTGCACACAGGGCCTGGCGACGTCGTACCCCAGGGTTGGTGATGGCAGCACCCAGCTGCTCCAGGTTTCGGATGAGGCTGCTGTAGGCCTGCACGTTGGCGTGCTGGATCAGCTTGGCCAGGTTCTCTTCGCTCACACCTGGGGGGAGAGGGGCGCTGGAGGGGGCCCAGTGGGGCCCTCATTAAGAGGGCAGGAGGGGTGGGGCGGGGGTCCCAGGACCTGGTGGAGCCCCAAGAGTGAGGATCAGGGGTGCTTTGTGTCACGGGAACTGGGCAGCCCTGAGGGAATCGATGGGGACTTCTGCGATGAGGTGAGGCCCCTTGCTAGCAGCAAGTGGTCTGGGGTCTCCTTGCCAAAGGAGGGCACTTGGTGCTCGTGAGGTGCTCACTGGGCCCAGAGAGGGACCTGGGGGATCTGACAGGAGGCAGAAGGGTGGAAGGCTCCCAGCACTGCCGAGACACGCGGGTGTGTGGTGTCCTAGGTCTCCCTGCCCACACCCACCGTTCCGCAGAAGGATGTAGAGCAGCAGAACCCGGATCTTGTCATAGGGCGGCACGGCGGCGTCCAGCAGCACGGGGACGATCAGCTTCATGGCGTCCTTGATCTTCTCACCCTCCGCGTCGGAACCCATTGCCAGGTCCTACGGGGTGACAGAGGCCAGTTAACTGCGAGGGAAGACAGGGGCGAGTGTGAGGTGGCCGGTCAAGGACACCCCCAGGGTCCTAGGCAAAGGTTTTGGGTTTGGGCCCCACCTCCCCCGTGCAGCAGGTCTCCCAGTGTCCTGCCCACCCGCACAGGGGCCACTGCCCTGCCCTGGGACACTTCCCACAGCCCCACCCCTCACGCTGGTCTCGCTTCTCCCCAAAGCCCCGCCTCTCCCGGAGGTCCCGCCCATTCCAAGACCCCGCCCCTCCAGGCCCCACCCCTTCCCACAAGCCCCGCCCCCAAGGGCCCACGCTCCCTGGGGCCCCGCCCCTCCACGCGCCCCGCCCCACCTGCTCCACGCTGCACAGCTTCTCCACCGAGCCCTTGAAGTGCTTCATGCAGTCGTCAGCCAAATGCAGGTGCGTGGAATACTGCAGGGGCGGGGGACAACGGGGGCCAAGTCAAGACAACACGGCGTGCAGGACAGGCTGGAGAGGAGGTCCGGGCCCCCAGGCAGTGTGGGGACGAAGCCCGAGCGGCCGGGCTCACCTTGTTCAGCTCCTTCTGGTACTGCGGCATCTTTTTCAGGATGTGGGACAGGTCCTTAATGTTGGCCTGTAGGGGCGGCGGCGGAGTGAGGCCAGGGACCCGTGGGGGTCGGGGTTGCGGCTCAGGAAGCAGGCTGGGGCCCCGCCCCCTCGCCAGGCGACCTAGGGAGGTAGGCGGGCTCCTACCTTGTCCGTGGTCATCCTCTTGCTCTCACAGAAGGTCTTCAGCAGCTCCGTGACCCTCCTAGCCACGGGGGAGGGCAGGGTGAGGTGGGGCAGGGGCCAAGCTGTGCGCTGGGCGGGGAGAGGTGGGAGGGGCGGGAGTCCGGCAGAGGGGTGTGGCTTACGGGTGGGCGGGGCTCACGGCGGGGCGCTTCTAAGGACCCGAGGCCTCGGAGCAGGCCCACCCGGGGGACAGCACAGGGCTCCCACCCCAGCAGCCCCACTGGCGCTCGCACTTGGAAACGTCGGCGATGTGCATGTGCCGAAGCTCCACCCACAGCTCGTCATCCTCGTCCAGCAGCACAGCCTTCTCCCGCGCCTCGCTCAGCCCCGTGGTCTCGTACCTGCAGAGGCAGCGCGGGGATGCGGGGTCAGGGCCGTGCGGCGAGGACCAGGGACTCGGCGCGGGGCAGTGGTGGCGGGAGGCCGGGCTTGCGGCCCGCCCACCTGTACGTGTCCTGTTCGATGTCCAGCAGGTCATAGGCCATGGCCTGGAAAGTGAGCTCGTGCAGCAGCGGCGACACGGGGTCCGCTGCCCGGTCCACGATCAGCAGCTGAGAGCGGGTTTTCTCCGGACCCTGGGCAGGAGGGAGGCAGCAGCGAGGATGACGGCCTGTTCCTAACCCTTCCTCTACGCGGCTCACCCCACCTACCCAGGGCCCCCTCACCTCGCCCAGACTGGGATTGTCTGCCTTGAAGGCGTTCAGCTTGGCCAGGACGGCGTGGGCCAGCTGGGCCGTGTCCTCCGGGCCCCTGGAGATGGCAGACAGTGGGCATCAGGACACACGGGGCCTGGGGGTGCTGGGCACAGACTAGGGGCCGAGACTGGGGCTGAAGGTAGGGGTCGGGGCCAGCGTGGGGACCGGGCTGGTGCCAGCAGAGAAGTTAGCGGCCGGATGTGGGATGAAGTCAAGGTCAGAGGGCAGCACTGGGGACAGGGCTGGGCTGGGTCCCCACTTGCGGTAGCGGATGGCCGGGTACTCCTGCAGCGTGGCGCACAGTGTGGCGATCTGCTGGGCCAGCGCCTCGAGCTGCCGCATCCGCTCCCCTGCCCGGAAGGGGCAGTAGAGGTTGTAGGTGCTGTGGGGGGCATCCAGGGAGAACACCTGGGGGACAGAGGTGCCAGCGCCACCAGTGTAGGTGCACATCTGACACCTCCCTCACTTCCAGCCCCCACCAGACACCCCACCCCGCCCAGGACGAGCCGGGGCTGCACCTGCGCCTCGAAGGGGAGGAAGGCAAGGTGGATCTCTTTCAGCGTCTTCACCACCTTTGCCAGGCGAGAACGGCCCAGCTCATTGAACAGGGGCTCAGGGCAGGCTGGGGTGGGCAGAACGGGCCGTCAGACCAGAGTTACACCACGCCCCTTCCCCCCAGCCTCCCAAGCTCCCAACTCTTCTCACTCACTGTCGGTGAAGAAGATGTGCGCTGCTTTGTAGGTGAAGGTCGGGGTCCCCCGGAAGTCTGCGATCAAGGCCTGCACCGACTGGGGAGTGCACATCACTCTTCAGGTCGGACTGGGCACCCCCCAGCCGGTCTCCCTGGCTGCTGCCCATCCCACATCACGTACAAACGTGCCCAGAGGGACACACGCACAGGCGCCCGCAGGCACCGTGTGTGCCACGTGCACAGTTGTGCCCACACGCACGCACACACGCGCATACACACATTCACAGGCTCACTCGTGTAACCACCTTCTCCGTGGGGCTCAGCAAATAAATGGCCTCCAGGCTGGGGATGGGTTCTCGCCGTTTGTTGATGTCTTCGACAACTATAAGCAACAGAGGAAGGGGCACGTGTGGGCGGCGGTGGGTGGGGTGGGGGCAGGAACACATGGCGGTCTCAGGTTAGGATCAGGAGAGCTGTGTGCCCGGGGCACGGCGCTGATGTGTGGGAGGCTGCACAACCTAGATTCCTAAGCAAGAGCTGCACACATAGAGGGTCACTCACCTAAGACTACAGCCAGGGTCTGCACATTTGGGGCTCACACTTACAGGCTGTGCCCTCGGGGTCCCACACTCAGGTTCCGTCTACAGAGCGTCTACTCACTGGTGATGCCCTCGGCCAGGATGTCCGACATCTTGCAGCAGGACGACAAGATCCGCATGCTGGGGTGGTCCATAATGAGTACCTGTCCGGGCGGATGGACAGACAGATGGACCCATGGGCAACACGCAGGCAGAAGAGACCACGCTGGCCCCCGGGGAGGAAGGGGAACTAAGTTTCAAGGGCTAGGTGGGCAGGAGCCGCCCTGCCAATGCCGCCCCAGTGGACCAGCAGCCTTCCCAAGGAATTCTTGGAGATCCCAAAGGCAGGGTCTCCCTCCCAAGTGGGCGTGGACTGGGGAGCCAGGCTTCTGCCTCCCCCCTACCTTCCATTCTCCATCCTTTTTGACACTCCGAATGACTCCGCTCAGAATTTCTGCAGGGAAGAGAGGGAGGGCACCGGGAGCCAGTGCTCTGGTCCTACCACACCCCCTTAGGGCTGGACTCCTATTTGAACTCCCCCTCACTTCCCCTCTCAGTCCCGAGAGATAGCTCCTGGCTTCACCCCAACTTACAGGCAGGGAAACTGAGGCTCTGAGGGGACAGTGAACATGCCTGCGCACCCTCAGAGCCTAAGTGGCACGGAGCTTGGGACATAAGTAGCCACTTCATGTCTGGGATGCACTCATGGGTGGAAAAGTGGGGCTCATTACAGACTCCGCCGCCTCCAGAGCTGGGCTCTCTGCTTCCCCATTTGCTACGCCTCCACTTTTTCTGCTCTGGGGCTTTCAGCCCAACCCCACTCCATCTCCACAGTCCCTTTCCACTCAAGTGCATGTCCCTGGTCATCCTGGCAACCTCTATGCCTCAGTTTGCTCACCTGTAAAGTGGGATCATGGCTGTGTTTCCCCCCCCCCATCTCCGCATTAGCCCCTCTATAGTAAGCTCCTTTTAGAGTTGGGTGTGCTGCCCTGAGGAAGTAGCTGGGAGAAGGGACTGGGTGGCCGCAAAAGGCCTGGCCAGCGTCATGTCCACTGTTATCAGGACCGCAGGGGCGGAAGGAGCAGCTGAGGCCGGAACCACTGGCGTGGGGGAGGGGCGTCCTCACCCCTCCCTCCAGACCTGGGCCCCGGGCCCTCCAGCTGCAAGGGGCTCCAGGGATAAGGCCTGGGGGAAGGTGCCCCCCACATCACTCTCGTGGGGCCTGGACACGCCCCCCAAAACCACCTGCAATCGCTGACCAGCGCGCTATGTGGCCCCCAGGTCCAGTCCCGAACTTTGCCCGACCCAGAGACCCGGGAGCCGCAGGAGCAGTGGAGGGGGGATCGATCTGTGCCCTTGCCCGGCCAGCACCCTAGGAGCCTGGGCTCCAGTCTACGCCACCGCTACCGGCCCCTCTGGCTCCCCACTGGGTCCCCAGAGCCCAGTGTCCCAACTTTGTTCTGGCGTCCCGCTGGGACCTGGCCCCTGTCCGCCCCCTCGAGGGTCAAGACCCCAAATCCCCGCCAGCGGAGTCCTGGGCCTCCGGAGTCCCTGCGCCCCCCGCCCCTAACCCCCCCCTTGGGAACCGGAGCCCCGCCCCAGAGGAGAACTCACTTTCTCCCACTACCGCCTTCAGCCCCGAGGGCGCCATCTTCCCCTAGGAGCGCCTCCGACGCTTCCGGGTCTGTCCCAAGGTGGGGGCGTGGCCCCGCGAGTCATCCACGTGGGCCCCGCCCCGCGACCCGGGCCCCGCCCCCTGCGCACCTGGCCCCTCCCCCTCCGGGTCTCCGGCGGGGAAGGTCGTGTCCCGCGCGGGGCCGGCGGGCGGACGTCTCCGCGCAGCTGCGCACGGCGTCCCTCCCACGCCAGGGACGGTGACCCGCTTGCCTCTGTACCCTCAAGGTTTACCAGCAGAAGAACCAGCCTGTGTGAACCACACTGACCAACTCAGAGATACAGTACAGCCGGGCGTGGCGGCGCATACCTACAATCCCAGCTTCTCAGGAGCCTGAAGGAGGAAGATTCCAAGTTCGAGGCCAGCCTGAGCAACCTGGCCAGACTCTCTGTCTCAAAATTAAATTTAAAAGGAGCTAAGGATGTAGCTCAATGGCCTGCCTAGCATGAGTCCAATCCCCAGCATTTAAAAAAAAAAAAGTCACACTTGATACAGAACTTCAGGGCTTGCTCCTATAGTCTCTGAGCAAAGGGGTGGGCTGGTGCCCTGTCACCTAGAAGGTACAATTACAGCAGAACTCAAATAAGGTCTTAGACCTAGTAGGTGATGTGTGTGAGTGCAGAGAATACTGCTTGTCTCAACTTGATCCTTCACTTGCCCGTGATTATTAACTTCCAGGGCTGGGATCGGAGCTCACTGGTAGAGCACTGGCCGTGCAAGGTCGAGGGCCTGGATTCAATTCCCAGCACCACCAAAAACAAGTGTCTTCCAGGTGCTGCTCATACAGGAATAAGAACAGAAGGCCTGGCCACTCACAGAGCACGACCGGGGGGTAGGAAAGAATCGCTTCTGCCAGGCCTCTATGACAGTCCCAGGCTAGCCAGGATGGCTGGCTACCCGAGATGGGAGTTTGGGCCTGTTCCTTTTTTTAAAAAATGCAATACTAGGGACTGAATCCAGGCCATTTGCATTGAGCTTCATCCCTAATCCTTCTTTTATTTTGTGAGACAGAACAGAGGCAGCAGGGAGGTGGGTTGGAGGTGGAAAGCAGGCACCTAGAACTGCCTCCATTTCTGCCTGACCCTACGGGTGAGTCCATAGGACCTCCACCCCCCACTATACTCAAGGGCGGTGACCAGGGTCTTCCAGCGTTACGGGCCGTGTTCCCTGGTGCCAGGAAACACCCCCATATATGCCACAGTTCTAATCCCCAGTACCTCAGTGTAACCTTTTTTTGGAAATAGGGTCATCAGAGATGAAATTAGTTAATGAGGCCATAGTAGAGGAGAGCGAGCCCCTCCTCCAAGATGACTGGTGTCCCCATGAGATGGCCTTACGGCTGCGTGTGGCAGTGCATGCCTGCAATCCCACCTCCTCTGAGTTTAAGGCCTTTCTGGGCAATCTAGAGGGCAAGACCCTGTCTCAAAATAAAATAATAGCCAGGCATGGTGGCACACACCTGTAATCCCAGCAGTCAGGAGGATACAGATCAGTGGTAGAACATCCCTGTATTGAATCCTCAGTACCTCAAAAAAGGAGGAGGGGGCTGATGCAGACAAGGACACATACGGAGGCCATGTGACCACACGGACAGAGACTGAAGTGCTATAGCCACAAGCCAAGGGCCAGCGAGGACAGCAGGCAGCCACCAGAAGATGGAGAGGGGTGAGGAAGGACCCTGAAAGCAACAAGTCTCAAGCAATAAGCACAGCCGCGCTGCACCTTATGTCAGACCTGTGGCCCCCAGAACGTTGAAATGCTAAACCTGTGTTGCTCTGAGCCACCCAGTTTGTGGTGCGGGTCCTGGCAGTCCCCAGGGACACCACGTCAGAAGCAGGACACTGTGCTGTCCACGGAGGGTGTGTGAGCGGATGGGGCCTGCCGGCAGTGGTGGTGGCAGTCACAGCTGGTTTCCAGAGGCCTCCTGGGGCGGGAGCAGGGCTCCTACAGTGCTGACAGAGCCGCAGCTGCTCGGTGGGAGGGCAGGGGCTCCTCTCCTCCCGTGCTCACTCAGGGCTGGGGTGCCGATGGATCAGAAACCGCTCAAGCTGCCACTTGGGTGGCGGGTGAGCAGGAGAGCCCAGATTTTATCATCCTGGGACCTGGGCAGGGCAGCCGGACCCCGGGGTGGCCAGGAGGCTCCTTGGAATCAGCTCCAGCCCGGGAGACAGAGCTGGGGCTCCATTTGCCATTGTCTTCCCAAGGAGCGGGGACAGACAGGGCTCCTGGGCTCCAGCTTGCTCCTCCACGCCCCCCTGCAGATGGCAACTGCCTTCCAGCAGCGGGAAGCCACAGGGGCAGGGGCGGAGGGGCTGGCAGGCTGGCTGGTGCGTGGGTGTGAGCTGCAGACTCACCGTGCCCGGTTGGCCTGGCTTCTTCCACACCTCAACTGCGTCCTTGTGGTCGGTGAATTCTGCAGGGCCCAGGAAGGTCCAAACCCAGGGCGCCCCGCCCCCACCCCCACACCAGGCCTGGCATCGTCTGGGCGAACAATTATCAGGATCATCTTTATGGGGCTTAAGCTTGGGTGGGAGCAGATGGGGCATGAGCAGAGGATTTGGGGTGCGAGTGGGTATGCACCCCCCCACATGCGGGCTGTTTAAAAGGCCCTTGCTCGTGAGGGGCCGGGGCAGAAGCCAGCAGGAAAGTAGATGGAGCCCAGGGGAGGGACAATGGCGGAACAGGACGAGAATGGACAGGAGGGGGGCTTGTCCCCGCCGGGCAAGGTAAGCGGCCCCGCTCCCACCCACCTGCGCTTCTGGAGCCCTCAGAGCCCGTGACTGACAGGACGAGTTAATTTGTAGGGCACCTAATTAGCAATCAAGTCTCCGGGGTCTCCTGACCCAGTTGCCACCGCAGGGATGTGCTGGTGGGTAGAGGGTCTGCGTGCCCAGCCCCTGCCCCGGGGCACAGGGTAGGGCTCTTGGTGCCGACCCCAGGAGGTGGCAGGTGCAGGCACTTAGAGGCGGTTTCCGCGGTCAGTGTCCCAGCCCCCGGGCTACCCCTAGCCAGGCCCCAATCTAGGACAGCGGGATGCTGTGGAACACAGTGTCCCCTGAGGTGGCACCACGTGAAGTGGTGCTGCCGGCCAGAGCCCCTGGGGCTGGGGGCCAGGACGGGGAAGCGGACTCAGGTCTCATTCTGAAGCAGCTCTGCAGAGCGGTGCATTCGCGAGGACATGGTGAGAGCCGAGGGGGCCGGAGGGCAGCCCCAGGGCGAGGGTGGGAGCCGCTGCCGGGAGCGCGGGGAGGCTCCCCACACAGACCGAGCGTACCTGTCCCCAGGCGGGCTCGCCAGACCAGGAGGGCTTCTTCAACCTGCTGAGCCACGTGCAGGGCGACCGCATGGAGGAACAGCGCTGCTCGCTGCAGGCTGCGCCAGGACAGACCCCAGAGAGCCGTGAGCCTGGGCACGGGCATGCTGGGGGTGAATGGGACAGGGCCACCGGGGTACTCGGGGGCCTGTGGGCGGGGAGCAGAGGGTAGGGAAGCTGACCGTGCCCACACGACTCCGCTGCACGCAGAAGGTGGCCCAGCGCCCGAGATGGACAATCTCATGGACATGCTGGCCAGCACCCAGGGCCGCCGCATGGATGACCAGCGAGTGACGGTCAGCGCCCTGCCTGGCTTCCAGCCCATTGGCACCAAGGTAGGGGAGGCTGGAAACACCTGCCACGCTACGCTCCAGGACCCAGTTCTGTTTGCAGCCAGGAGGGAACGGGTCCCTACCTCCTCCTCTGTCCGCCATTTTCTGCCGTGCAGGACTCATACTAGGGTCAGAGCTATGGAACTCGTGGGTCCTGCTCCCTACCTACATCTGAGGGTTTGGGGGAGGTCAAGGGGAGAAAACAGGCCCCCTTCCAGGAGCAGCAGCCTCAGGGAGGGCATGCACGAGCCCGCACCGGCTGGGCACATCCACACTCCACTAACCCATACCCGGCCTGGGTTCTCATCCAGACCCAGGTAAGAGCCTCAAGACCTACCACCTCACTCCCAAACTCTACCCTAGCGGCAGATAATTAAGGTAAACATGGGAGAATGCTTTATGGGGACAAAGAGGCCAGGCACCTGACAGGAGGTGAGCCGTGGATTCCCCCACTGTCGGCGTCACCTCTGCCCTGCACTGCTCCTGGTCTCTCTACCCCACGAACCCCTCTCTATCCACAGGATGGGGTGCAGAAACGAGCTGGGACGCTCAGCCCGCAGCCCCTGCTCACCCCCCAGGACCCCGCTTCACTCAGCTTCCGCAGGAACAGCAGCCCCCAGCCCCAGACACAGGCCCCTTGAGGGTCCGCACCGTCCTGGGCTCCACTGGGCCCCCGAAAGCAGAAAATAAAACACTTGCAGGAGCACCAAGAAACTGAGTCTGTGTTATTTCGTGGGCAGAGGGACTGGATTAAAATGCTTGGCGGTCTCAGGAGCTCTGCTGGGCAGCACGAAGGAGCCTCTCCTCCCGCTGCTTCCGCATCTTCTCTTTGAACTCTTCTAGCTCTTGGCGCTAGGGTGGGAAGGGAGTGGAACAGGAAGGAAGGTGGGGCACACACCTCAGGGCCTTGTCCCTCTCCTGCCAACCCGCCCGTGCTTCAGAGGTCAGTGTCTACACTGGGAGCCCCGTGCCAGTGACAACCAGCATCCAAGTGGGATCAGCTTGATCCTTCATGGAGAAGGCAACAGGGAAACGATATGCCCCTCTGTGCTCCATTCTAATGTATAACTTTCATTAGACCCCACAGTTACCCAACACCCTCTGTTCCTCTGGTAGGAGGAAAAAGAGATTCTTACCTGGCCCTCCTTCTCAGGCGGCCATAGCTCCCTCTGTGGGGACAAAGACACAACTGGGACACAAGCCAGGAACCTCCAGCACCCCATACCCAGGGCAGGGTTGCTTCATGACAGCAAACAATGGTTCCCAGCAGGCTGATGCTCCACCTCCAGCCCCACCCCCTAAAATGAATCTGGGACCACTGTCCTTATGCCCACCTTGCGCTGGATGACGTAACTCTCAAACCACTCGGCCTGATTGGAGATCCAGAACATAGCCACAGGGAAAGTGAGGTACACTGTCATCTGCAAAACCGGCAGGTACATGAGCAAAGCCTGGTGCTGCCACCACCCCAGCGACACTAAGAGGCTGCTCAGAGCCCACAGGACCTCCTCCCGCTAAACCCAAAAGTGCCACCTGTTCTTCCAGTCCCCATAATCCTGTGAGCCCATGTGAATATCCAAGAAACACACACACACACACGGGGGGGCACGCGCGGCCCCAGCAGCATAAGAGCATCTATTACAAAGACATCTCCTTAACCTCATTACCACTACCACCTCGACCTCCCCCCATCAGATCCCGGGAGTACCCCGCCCCCAGCCCACCCTGAGGCCGCATTCTTCAAACCTACTCCCCTAATTCTTGCAGTCTCTCCATCAAAGACACACCCGCCCACTCTGAGCTCGAGGGCTTCCCCGCGATCTCAAGGGTGCCACTTCAGCCCTCTCCGTAGTTCACACCTCTCTGACGCCCTAACTCAGACAGGACCTTTTGGATTCCCCAAAGCCAGACGTTCCACTCCCACCTCCCACAACCTAGAGCTCTCTCCGCTGGGTTTCGCAAATCTCAAGGGCTTTCTCTCCGGAGATCTCTCTGTTTGTATTCACTCCTTTTCATAGTCTCATTCTTAAATCCAAGCTCTCCAGCCCAGCCACCCAACCCACTCTTGTGCTCCACAGACCCGAAACACCTCCAGCTTCACTCCCATCTCGCTTCTCTCAGGATACAGAGACACTTCCGCCCAAAGTTGACCTTCCAACAAGACAGCAACTCATTGGTCCTTCGCGGGAGCCAGTGTTAAATGTGATTGGTCCACAAGCTCCATATTGACTCAATCTTAGGGCGCCACTTCTCTAGTTCCGGTCGCTGGTGTCGTCTACCCGAAAGTCAACAACGCTCGTCGCGCTGTCAGGAGAATGCAGCCAATAAAAAACGGGTGTGTCACGGGGGGGCGGGCCTTCAAGGGCAAACGTCATAAGTAAGGGACGCTTGCCTGTACCCGGTGGACCAGGAAAATGGTGGTGATGGCGCGCATTTCGCGGGCCGAGCGGCCGGACCTTGTCTTTGTGAGTCCGCAGTGGGGCCAGCGATGGCCTGCGTGGGGGAATCGAGAGACCTGGGTGCTGTGGGAGATCGGACCCTCGTCGCCCGAGGAGTATAGGCCAAAACTGCCTGCCCAACCTCTGGGGCACTCTGAAGGCCCGGAGGCCAGCAGGTGATGTTCACACCGGGCTGACCAGAAGTAAAGATCGGGTCTCGGAAGCGGTGGCCCGAGTAAAGAGGTGCTGTCGAGGTTACGGGGGTGATGTCTCGTCCCTGGACGGAAGCTGGGGAAGAGGTGTGAAAGGAAATCGCACAACTGGATCTTGGCAGATAAAGAACTGGTGCTGGCAGCGCCCGCATGGTGACTAGGTCAGGACTCCGATTTAGAGGCGGGTGTTCTGCACGGCGGCTTAGGTCTGATGCGGAGCATTACGATTTCGGAGTCAACCCTTAGTGTCCCGGGCTGTCTCAGGGCTTTAGGAGGTAAAGCACCCTGGAGTGTGAGGGAAAGACCTGCTGATGTGAGGTTTGTCAGGCGGCGGACAGTATCCTCGAAGGAGCTTAAGTAGAGGCCTGGTATTTTCATCAGATTCGTGGTGTGCAGGGTTAAGAGTTCTATACCTGGCTCAAACCTGTCCTTCTGAGATAAGGACTACCGTCCAGGTTCTAGGACAGAGTTGAGCTACATTCTGGCTAGTGAGATCCAGAGAGGTCAGCAGTTTGGTGTCTGGACCTAAGTGTCACCCGGGCCTGGGGTGAAGATGGGTCGGGCAGTGACAGTGGGGGCCTGAGGAGCCAAAGACCTGGTAGGTGGGAAGAGGTGTGTTGTGAGGCGGTAGGGCCCTGGTGTCTAAGGAGCCTGTCGACCTAACCCTGAGAGTGGATGGTGGGGTTTGGAGGGCCAAAGCCTGACGTCTGAGCAATGGCCTCATCTGACTCAGCACCAGTACCCACTGAGAGGTCTAGCTGAGTCAGGTTCTGGGAAGGTGAATGATAGCTGCAAACGTTCCAACCAGCATCCCAATTTCTGGTTGTCTGGTGACCTCGCTTCCACAGTGAGCAGTGTGGTCCGGGCTGGGACTGTAAGTCTGGAATTTGGACCTGGACTCCAGGAATGGGTGAGCTTAGCCTCCGAGGATGTGTTTTCATTCTCCTCCTCCCTTGGTCCTGGCAGGAGGAAGAGGACCTTCCCTATGAAGAGGAAATCATGCGGAACCAGTTCTCAGTTAAGTGCTGGCTCCGCTACATCGAGTTCAAGCAGGGGGCTCCGAAGCCTAGGCTCAATCAGCTGTACGAGCGGGCACTCAAGCTGCTGCCCTGTAGGTGGGTGTCTGTCTTGCTCTCTGCCCACAAGCCCCTGCCCCATCCAGTCAAAATAGAATTGGCAAGTAGGCATGGTGTGAGTGCTGTGTATTCTGTCACCCGATGGCCACACTTTCCAGATGTCCTAGTCCTTTCTCTTCTTGACACTTAGACCTCCTCAGTCCGTTTGTCCCCGCCCGAGAAAGGTTCCCCCTCCAGAACCTTTCTCCTGGGGCAGGGAGAAAGGTCCCGGGGATCTGTGGCCTCAGTGTCTGTCCCCTGTCTCCTTCTATACCTCAGTTACAAACTCTGGTACCGCTACCTGAAGGCGCGCCGGGCGCAGGTGAAGCATCGCTGCGTGACCGACCCTGCGTACGAAGATGTCAATAACTGCCACGAGAGAGCCTTTGTGTTTATGCACAAGGTGAGGAGCGGGACTGGGGGAGGAGTGGGGCTCAGGAGTGCACGGACCTGAGCGGAGCAGGGCTGGGCTCAGCACAGGAGGGATGGAGGACCGGAGTCCTCTTGCTTGTGGGTGCCAGCCGTGGGGGTGGCCTCAGTCCTGGAACTGGGAGTTGTGAGCACGGCTGAGGTTATGCCCTGGTGCGGCTCGGCCATAAGACATGTGGTGTCGGTGGCCGGGTTGTGGGGCATGTGGCTCAGAGCTGGCTTTCTCTTCCTGCCCTTCCAGATGCCCCGTCTATGGCTAGATTATTGCCAGTTCCTGATGGACCAAGGACGGGTCACACACACTCGCCGCACCTTTGACCGGGCCCTGCGGGCACTGCCTATCACACAGCACTCGCGAATCTGGCCCCTGTACCTGCGCTTCCTGCGTTCCCACCCACTGCCCGAGACAGCTGTGCGGGGCTACCGGCGCTTCCTCAAGGTGAGTCCCTCCGGTGTGCCAGGTCCTGAGCTCGGAGCCTTCCCACCCTGGCACACTGGGGCACGAGCCCTGGGCGGGATGGACCTGACAGACAGGACGCGAGGAGAGGGCTCCCGCAGGCACGTAGCTTCCGTCTGTGATCCGTTCCTCTATTTCCCATGTGGTGGGCTGACACCCACTTCACATAAGGCGTGGACAGAGATGGGTGCCGGGGACGGTGTGAATAAGGCAGTCACATGAGCCACAGCCGCGGTGAGGCTGGGAGCGGGAGGGCGGAGTGGTGGGAAGGTGCAGCAGGCAGGTGGGGGGTAGAGCTGCAACGGGCAGGGCACCCTCTCTGCAGACTCCCAGCATCTGCTGTGCATGGTGACAGCCTTGGCAGGTGCTCTTCAGGTGGGGACAGAAGTGAGGCCTTGCTGTACAGGCCGGAGCATCAGAGTCTGAGCAGGAACGATCAGGGTTAAGCCAGCAGGGCCGAGGTGGGACCAGCCTGGACCGCGCTGGACCTATGCCCAGGCTGGACCACGCTGGGGCTGAGGCTGGCTGTGGGACAGCCAGAGGTGGGTGGGTGGCAGGAGGCCCAGAGCCACAGAGGCGGGAGGAAACAGTGGCCCTGCACCCCCAGTAACCTCTGGTGGCCTCGCTGGGTCCCCAGCTGAGTCCCGAGAGCGCTGAGGAGTACATCGAGTACCTCAAGTCCAGCGACCGGCTGGATGAGGCCGCGCAGCGCCTGGCCACCGTGGTGAATGATGAGCGCTTCGTGTCCAAGGCCGGCAAGTCCAACTACCAGGTGAGCCCGCGGGGGGCGGGGGCGGGGCCTGGCGGCAGGGCGCCTCCCTCCAGGACCCAGCTGAGCCGCCCTCACTCCCCGCCCTTGTCCCCTGCAGCTGTGGCACGAGCTGTGCGACCTCATCTCCCAGAACCCGGACAAGGTGCAGTCCCTCAACGTGGACGCCATCATCCGCGGCGGCCTCACCCGCTTCACCGACCAGCTGGGCAAGCTCTGGTGCTCGCTGGCCGACTACTACATCCGCAGCGGCCACTTCGAGAAGGTGCGCGGGCACCTGGGCCTGTTATAGGACCGGACCCCCCCAACACCCAGGGGACCCCTCCCTCGTGGCGTGGGTGGCCAGAACACATGCACAGCTGCACTCTGTGACGCACGCGTGCCCCCCGACAGTGAGGGCACGCACATCTGAGGGGAAGCCAGACTTGGGTTCTGGATGTGGATGTCCCCACCTGGCCGTGTGGCCTTGACTTCATAAGCCTGGGTGTCCCCAGTAGGAAGCAAGGGTGACCGTGCTCTCTCAGGGGAGGGCCCGGCACGGTGATGGAGCGGGACGTGAGACGGCAGCGTGAGTGTGGCTGCCCTCGCCATCTTGCTCTGCTCGTTGGGCAGGGGAGTGGCAAGCTTGGGACCGGGCAGCGGGCAGGGCCTTGGGAGTCACCAGAAGGCTGGCGGGGGCCACTGCAGCCTCGGGAAGGTGGGAGCGGGACGGGAGCAGTTGGGGTGACAGGCTGCGGAGCCGGCGCTGACGGGGTAGGGATGGAGGAGGCTGTGCTCGCTGGTTGCTGGGACGACGTGAGCTGCAGAAGGGGTCAGGCGGGCATGGGGCTTCAGAGCAAAGATGGAGCTCCACAAATGAGCTGAATTCAGCGGTTCCGCCTGGTGGACCTGTGGGGGCCGCGTTGTCATTGGTCACCTGGGCCTTACGGGGTGCCGAGTGCTCTGTGCGGGTGTCTTCGTTGGACTTTGAGGTCACTCTGCACAAAGGCTATCCCTCCTGGGTGACCAAGGAAGCCCGAGCCTTCCCGGATCAGCTTGGGAGCACCAGGCTCCACCCCACGGTGTGGAGGTCACTACTCAGAGCCTGCCAGTGCTGGGGGCGCCCTGCAGAGACCCCAAAGGGACACTGGTTTGGGAGCCGGGCCGAGAGCCCCGCTGTGTCCTATGTCCGTGTCTGGGCTTACACGCCTCTGCCCAGCCACCCATCGTCGCTTCCCTCAGCACCGCTGTCCCCGCAGGCCCGGGACGTGTATGAGGAGGCCATCCGCACCGTGATGACCGTCCGGGACTTCACGCAGGTGTTCGACAGCTACGCCCAGTTCGAGGAGAGCATGATTGCGGCCAAGATGGAGACCGCCTCGGAGCTGGGGCGCGAGGAGGAGGGTGAGCGCGCTGGGAGGGGCGGCGAGGGCGGGACGGGAGGGGGAAGGCAGCGGGGCTGGGGCTGGAGCAGCTGAGACGAGCTGCTTCTCAGGCTCGGCTCGGAGCCGGGTGGACCGGGCTGGGAGGGCAGCGGGATGGGGCAGTGCCTGGGGCAGGGCTGGGTCCAGCGTGGTCAGCCGGAGTCTCCAAGCCCCAGAGCACTGGGCTGGGCGGGGAGGGCGGTGGAGGGCAGAGGAGGCCACACAGCGGGGCAGCGCCCACCCCCACGCCAGCCCTCACACGCGCGGCCTCGGCCCTCAGATGACGTGGACCTGGAGCTGCGCCTGGCCCGCTTCGAGCAGCTCATCAGCCGGCGGCCTCTGCTGCTCAACAGCGTGCTGCTGCGCCAGAACCCGCACCACGTGCACGAGTGGCACAAGCGCGCGGCCCTGCACCAGGGCCGCCCCCGGGAGGTGAGCGACGGGCGCCCGGCCTCACCCGCCCTCCGCAGCCCTGGGCTCCCCGCCTGACCTCAGGCCTCCCCCAGATCATCAACACCTACACGGAAGCTGTGCAGACCGTGGACCCCTTCAAGGCCACGGGCAAGCCCCACACCCTGTGGGTGGCATTCGCCAAGTTTTACGAGGACAACGGGCAGCTGGACGACGTGAGTGCCGTGCTAGTGTGTGTGAGACAGTCACTTGTGTGTGTGCCCAGTGTGGAGCCTGCGTGCCACACGGTCCCAGCCTGGCCTCCGCCACCCCCGCAGGCCCGCGTCATCCTGGAGAAGGCCACCAAGGTGAACTTCAAGCAGGTGGACGACCTGGCGAGTGTGTGGTGCCAGTGCGGGGAGCTGGAGCTGCGGCACGAGAACTACGACGAGGCCTTGCGGCAGCTGCGGGTGAGAACAGGCCCGGGAGGGGGCGGGCCGTGGGGGCGGGGTTTGAGGGCCGGCCCGAGCGCCTCCCCACCCGCTGCAGAAGGCCACAGCGCTGCCCGCTCGCCGGGCCGAGTACTTCGACGGCTCGGAACCCGTTCAGAACCGCGTGTACAAGTCGCTGAAGGTGTGGTCCATGCTTGCCGACCTGGAGGAGAGCCTGGGCACCTTCCAGGTGAGCTGCCGTCGGGGAGGCACAGGCCCCTGGCCAGCCCCGAACATGCCCCAACCTGTCCGCCCCTGTCCCCACAGTCCACAAAGGCTGTGTACGACCGCATCCTGGACCTGCGCATCGCCACGCCCCAGATCATCATCAACTATGCCATGTTCCTGGAGGAGCATAAGTACTTCGAGGAGAGCTTCAAGGTGAGGGGCAGGCGCAGACGCAGTGCCCGGGCTTGCCCGTGAGACGCGCATGTCCCAGAGCCAGTGATTCAAGCAGCTGAGATTTAACATCTCCGTGCAGGAGACCAGAAGCCCCGAGCACAGAAGCCCCGAGCACAGTGTCACTGGGCTGGGGTCCTTCCCAGGCCTTGGGGTGGCTTGAGATCCGCCTGTACCAACTGTGTTTGCATGCAGTTGCCTGTGTGGCCCTGTCATGGTCTCCTCACTCGGTCACGAGTGACTCCTCTAGGGACCTCGCTGAACTTGATGGCCCCGTCTGAGGGGCTCTTGAGTCCTGACGTGCCACGTATTAGGATGCATTGGCAGAGGATGCTGGGAGTGTGGGAATGGCCACCCTCACCCACTGCCTGCCACACTGCCCGCGGGTTACAGATCTAGGGGCCTTTCACATGGCCAGGTTGGTTTGGGGCTGGTGCGGTCTGATGAGGCAGACAGGGAGGGCCCACGGGCGCCGCCACGGGGCAGGGAGGGCGACAGGAAAAGAGCTGTCTGCTGCACTGGAGGGGCCTGGTCAGTGTCCCGGCGGCATTGACCGAGGGCGTCCCGTGCCAGTGGTCCCCGCACACTCACACACGGCCCCCGGCACAGGCGTACGAGCGTGGCATCTCGCTGTTCAAGTGGCCCAACGTGTCTGACATCTGGAGCACCTACCTGACCAAATTCATCGCTCGCTACGGAGGCCGCAAGCTGGAGCGGGCGCGGGACCTCTTCGAGCAGGCGCTGGACGGCTGCCCACCCAAATACGCCAAAAGTGAGCACGGAGGGTCTGGGCCCCCGGGGCGTGGGGACGGCGGGGCGACTGACCAACCGGCCCCTCTGCTCCCGCCCCCCCGCACAGCCCTGTACCTGCTGTACGCGCAGCTGGAGGAGGAGTGGGGCCTGGCCCGGCACGCCATGGCGGTGTACGACCGCGCCACCAGGGCCGTGGAGCCCGCCCAGCAGTATGACATGTTCAACATCTACATCAAGCGGGCCGCCGAGATCTATGGCGTTACTCACACGCGGGGCATCTATCAGAAGGCCATCGAGGTGCCCGCATGGGGGCGGGAGGCAGTGCCCTGCCATCCCAGGGCTGCTAGCCACGTGGGGACCCTCAAGCTGCCCTCCCTCACAGCTGCCCGCCCCCTGCGCCCAGGTGCTGTCGGACGAGCATGCGCGCGAGATGTGCCTGCGCTTCGCAGACATGGAGTGCAAGCTCGGCGAGATCGACCGCGCCCGCGCCATCTACAGCTTCTGCTCCCAGATCTGTGACCCGCGGGTAGGGCTGCGCCCGGGGTGGGGGCGGGGCTGGGGGGCCTCGCGGCAGCTCGGGCATCCACACCACACTCCCGCCCGCCCCGCAGACGACCGGGGCCTTCTGGCAGACGTGGAAGGACTTCGAGGTGCGGCACGGCAACGAGGACACCATCCGGGAGATGCTGCGCATCCGCCGCAGCGTGCAGGCCACCTACAACACGCAGGTCAACTTCATGGCCTCGCAGATGCTCAAGGTGTCGGGCAGCGCCACGGGCACCGGTGAGCCGCCCTGACAGCGCGCTCCCCGCACCCCGGCCTTGCCCTGCGGCTCCGCCACCGCGACTGTGCCCCTCCTGCTGGGTCCCGGCGCCCCGGGCAGGGAGGGTGTCCGAGGTGCCGGGAAGGGGCCGCCCTGTGTGACCTCTCTGTCCCCTCAGTGTCCGACCTGGCCCCCGGGCAGAGCGGCATGGATGACATGAAGCTGCTGGAGCAGCGGGCAGAGCAGCTCGCAGCTGAGGCAGAGCGGGACCAGCCCTCGCGGGCCCAGAGCAAGATCCTGTTTGTGAGGTGAAGCCGGGTGGAGGACAGCGGCTGCCCGGGGAAGCGGGGATTGCAGGGGTGGCTGGCGGGGCCCACCAACCCGGGCCGTTGACACACACCCTCCCCCAGGAGCGACGCGTCCCGGGACGAGCTGGCAGAGCTGGCCCAGCAGGCCAACCCCGACGAGATCCAGCTGGGGGAGGATGAGGACGAGGATGAGATGGACCTGGAGCCCAATGGTCAGTGGAGGCCCCGTGGAGGTGTGTGGCAGGGGCAGCCCCCGGCAGGGAGTGACCCTCTCCCCGCTTCCCCACAGAGGTCCGGCTGGAGCAGCAGAGCGTGCCGGCCGCCGTGTTCGGGAGCCTGAAGGAGGACTGAGCCCCTCCCCGCCC